GAGAAAGGACTTTCCTCTATACACATGAATAAGGGGGTTTCTGCACACTGGTGGATGTTCCAACATATGTCCTTGTCTAACCAAGGATGGAAGGATGTGATAGATCCCAGCGCCAATAGATACAATGAGGAATCTATTGGCAAATACTATGTCATACCAATGAGTGATGGTCTAGATCAATCATATCTCATATCTCATGGCGCATGTGCACATTATTCTAATGTGAACAGTTTATTGTAATGCAGTCATGTGATTCCCCTTATTACAACAGTAAGCTGGATGTTTGACTGTGGTATTTTCTGTTGAGAGGCCATGGTTTTTGTGATGCAACTACATGATGCTTCGTTGGATCTAATGCTTGAAGAAAGTGATGGTATACTATATTTTTGCTTCTGGCGACGTTATACTGTATGATATTTAGCGTATTTTTGGCCTTCATTGGCTCATTGTGCACTGCGGTGCTTCGCTAATCTCTACTACATTTTCCCGTGTCACAGTCCGGGAATTCTCTTAAATCGTCGAAGGCGACATAATCATGAGGCTTGAGGCATTTGCTGCTGTTGCAGTCAGGTCAGGTTGAGCAGTGGTCTTTCGTGGCCTTCCTGGACCTCGGCGTTCGATGATTTCATCATCAGCTCCGACGACTCGTGAGGCTACTACACCTGCTCTTCTTTTCCTGCTTCCTACAACCTGCCAGCCTACTTCTTGACCTTCCGGTTGTTTTCCTAGTGACATGAATCTTCATGGGTCTTGAGTCTTGCTGAGGACAGCTTTAGCTTTGGCTGACATACTAACTGAACAGCTAGAGTCCCATGAGTTGTGGTGCCTTGCATAATTGCCGCATCTTATCTCTGGGTTACCTGAGCATTCTCTAGTGTTATAATTGCTGGCACACTGGCCACATTTGGCTGCGGCGATGCAAACAATTGCAATGTGGCTGTACAAGAGATTCCTGTTAAAATTATTAATATAATTAACGAGACAAGGGGACTATTCTCAACACCTGTCAGTAGTGTCCCTAACGAGCCTCCAGCTCTCACTGTAGAGTCTGCAGAGCCGACATTGAGTAACAAAGTCCTCACTTCGACGAGGATTCCCAATCGCTTTCGCCGTCTGTATCGTCTTCATCTCTCAACACATTCCCCTATCACCACTACCATAAAGCTAACCACGGTCAGATCAGATGGTAGGGTCGGAGCCCTACTCATCACCCAGCCTTGATCATGGAGGAAAAGCCATCCGATGAGTTTCCGGAGCGTACCCAGCACTCGATACGGAGATGGCGGATTGGATCAAGTCGACCTCGACTGTTACAAAGAAGGGAGATATAGATGAATATGCACACCTCATGTGGTCCCGGTGTCTAGGCCTCGCGTGGCTGGGGCCGCAGGTTTTTTGAGGCTTTATCCCGCGCACGCAGTTTCCATTGCTACCATTTTTATTTTTTTTGGGTAGAAGGTTCCGTGGAAAATGTGGCTGAATTCCACGGGTAAACACTGAGCTGAATGGCTATTCATCAAGGGGAATATATCAATGATCTTTCAAGTAACAAGAGAGGATAGGAGCACTGTACAAGGTGTGGCCTGGGTCAGAGAGGAGCTCAATGTGCTAGATAGTCATAAACTCAAGTAGTACAATAAAATACACACACACAAAATTGTGGAGACATAAATGCAACGTCAATCAAAGTACGGGTTCGTGCTACACTAGCATTCTTAGACACCCTACACTATATGTCTGAGGTATATAGTGTGGTCTGAGAACACGTAACCCTAGCATGGATCTAAATGTCAAGACATGTAGTTGTAAATTGATAGTCTTATTCTAGATTTGAAATAATGATTTATATTAGACGATAAGATAGAAGCTAAAACGAGAGCCTATCAAATATTTTATCAAGTCATCTATCTTACTCTATGTTGATGAATACTAAAGCTCCAGTGTATTGCGTTCATTTATATTTTAAGCCTTCCTTTCCTATCTTTTTTCGAAACAATAATGGAAATAATCTTGGCTCTATGCCCTGAAAATATCTGTTTCTTTTGTTTTTGAAATTAGGCCAATATAATAACGGGTGTTGCATATTTTGCCTTTCTTTCCTACAAAAATTTCATAAATTATCTTCAACTTTTTCTATCATATGCAGATAGACCCCTGGATTTCCGATTTCAAACCTTGTCTAGAAGAATCCTGACTCTGTCTCCCTGATATGTACATGAAATTTGAAAAAGGCGCAGCCTGTAACACGTACGTCCACAATACTCTGTATCTCCATTTCCAACATGTGCCAACTCCCCACACATGAGCTCTTCACATAACAATTAGACCAGTCTTAATCAAACTTCCCGACGTGTTGGCGCCCAGAGAGGCAACAAAGCAATAAGAGCTGGAATCTCATTATCTCGCGTTCAAAGATTCAATTTTACGTAGATGCTGATCTCTCGACAGACTTCAAGTTTTACGAAAGTGGTCTAAGAGAGAAATTAGCCACATAAATCCATGGCACTACTCCAATCATACTTGTATTTATTCAAAGAATTATCTGATACATACCAAGCTACTTAGCACCTGAACTCCTTAGGTTGGAGCAAGAGCCCGAGATATGCTGGGAATCAAAATTTGAGTCTCACGGACCTGAGCCTGATATTGCCCAGAGTGTCGAAAGAAAAAATGGCAAGGAGGTTTCTCCTGCACATATGAGCAGGCTTCGGTGGCGATTCCGTGCTGAAATCATCGATAGTAGTCTGCGAAGTCGCCATGTCCTGATCGTACAGCTAGTGGATATCTGAGTGTATGTAACTCCTAATCTCCAAATTGTGCCGGCTAATGAGCTGATAACAGTTCTCCACCAAGTTAATTTCATCACTTTATCTAATAATTTTGCAATAGTCGGTACTTTGTTCTAGATCAGCTCAGAAGTAACAAAAATGTTCTAGAATCTCTTCAGAAATTTTTGGATTACTCCTAGTCTAACATGCGAGAAAATGATGTTAGCCAAGATTGAATCTTCTAAATAATCTAGTAAATGTATTGTCGGGATACTTAATCACGGTGCAAAGAACGTTAACTATATGTCACGTTTACACCTGAGCAGTGCCCAGAGCAGCATCGCCATGCAGATAAGAAGCAAACACATTGGGTTCAATTCTTATCTGCACAGAAGAAAAGTTCCAGGAGTAGATAACCCACGATGCCAATGTGGATATCCGTCCCAGAATGTGAAGCATATGATCATGGCCTGCACCAGCTGGGCCAAAGGAAGAGGAGAAATATTAAGAAAGGTAGAGAACCGGTCATTTGAGGCCATGATGAACAATCCCACAGATATTGCAAGGATAACTAGATGGATCCAGCAGGAAGGATGGCTAGAGCAGTTTCGACTGACGCTTGAAGTCGAGGCCACGATGAGGGAGAGAAGGGAAAGCAGGGGGAAGATGATCCCCTGCCAGTAGCAATGAAGTGGACGGTATCCGCACTGGATATAACAGTATTAGTGCACTTCGAGAAGGTAACACAATACCAAAGTGTATATAAATTGAAAAGTTGAGGGGGTTTTTACCATAAAGTTTTCCTCCTAAATAAATATTAGAGTTCGTAGACACCTGCATGGGCCTCAAGGCGCCAAATCGGGCTAATTGAAATCAAATTCAAATATATGTCACGTTTCTGCGGTTGTTTTGTTTTGTTCATTAACGTGCTAGGTTACATGACTACCGTTGCACTCCTACTGGAGCTTAAGCACGAGTGGGGTCGGGCCGGATCAGGTTAACTACCGTGAAGTACAGATAAACCTCTTCACACTTTAATGACCAGACCACCTCAGACTTCACCTATGTGTTGAATCATACCAAGACTAACCGTCCAGAAACCCGGTGTATACGCGCCGTAGCGCAATTTCCTCCTCAGCCTCGGCCACCACGCGCCCGAGCCCTTGACATCCTCATTGACATCCTCATTGACTCCGAAATATAATTGCCGTCCAAGATCTCATTGTTGCTCTAGCCTTGCACCTTCATATCGTACCGTTGAGTTGTTTTCGTCATTGGGGATTTGTGTAATCCCCTCGGTGTGTCTTCCCTCTTCTTCCTCCTTTGTACACGTCCCGTTTCCATCATGACTTTCCTCATTAGGGCGTGCCTAGGTAGGTGATCGGACGAGTATGGAGGTGGGTCGCAGGCACAGAATCGACTGAGAAATGGATCGTCGTAAATATATGAGGAGTTTGGGAGATGTCAGATATTTGAATACGACCCCCAAACAGACCTAGGCCCATTCGTGAATCGTATGTTATTGGTGATGAGATTTTGTTCAACTTGGTTCCGGCTGTGAAACTTCTGCCGACTGATTTTTCGACCAAAATATCGAGTGCAACTCCTTCAAGTCGAAAATCCATCAAAAAAATTCATCCCACCTTTTTTCGTGACTGAATCTCGGCTCTGGGAGAATATTTCACTCCCAGGTTCGTAGAGGACATCGCGTACAGGTGTTCAGTCTCGCCCTCCGTTTCTGCGGTTATGTTGGTGGATCTTGTCTATTCTCCTATTCTACAAAAGTTACTAATACTCATAATGAGCGATGACTGATATATGACTAACATTGGAAAGTGAGGTCAGGATATTTACACAGTCAGACCCCTGTTAAGACGATATTTTTTCCAGAACGGACTCCGTTCCCATACATTTGCCGATTACACGATTATCGTTCTTCAACCTCTGAATATCGTCTTAACCAGGGTTTTTTTGCTTGATTGGTGCTTAAATCTCCGCCCGAAAAGGGAATTTCTGTGGAGCAACGATATTCTCTGTATGACGATACTTTTCACGGCCCCGAATACGTCATATTAACAGGGGCCTGACTGTACCAATTTGTATAATAGATAAGGTAGGACTAAGATAGATGGCCAGAAAAATAAAATACTACCTTTGTGTATCTGATGGCGCAAACATCAATACTCTAACCGTGATGCTAATAAAATGTCTATTCTATTTACATTTGAAGTACTAAAAAGTTTTTCTTTGGAAACTTCTACTCTCCGGTAGAGGTATTTTTATACGTTGTAGACTAGGACTTCTTCTAACATATATTTCTCTCTCGGCAGCTTCAAACATCTTGAAGAGATATGAGGTTGATTCATGACCGAGACTTGGTGCGAGTTGGTAATATTTGCCTGGCCTAGACTTTTCGAGAACTTTCAGATATCCAGAGACATGAACAAGGTGAATTCGGCGATTTTTGAGTCGCAGAGATAACACGGGCCGAGACGAATCCAACAATTCTTCTGACGTAACGCATCTGTCCCCAATAACAGCTGGTTTGTTGGTCATTATTCGACGTCTTCTATGAGTTGGAGCTAATATTTCTAAATTTTCAGAATCGATGTATCTTAGTAAAAGTTTTACCGTACATGAAGGCCATTCTCCATTCATAACCCTAGAGATACTTATGTATGGATTTTTTTTCTTTACCGTTTGTAATTCATTGACGCAGTTTCGGTACATTACATTCATATCGAGACTCATGCTTCCATGTATAGATCTCTGTCGACTGACCTCTGCGTCAATTAACTGGTGCGCCACTAAAAGCTGCTCTTCTGTCGAGGCGCAGAACTTTCCCCATGAAACCCCAGGATCTTTTGAATTAAATTGACTGTATGAGAGCTCTCTTAAGGCCTGTTTTAGTTGCGGATTTCCTGACGTCCATATCCCCCTTTCTCCATAATAATAAAGTTGAGGTTGATCTCCGTTTGTGACAAAATTAAAATTGAAAAGGCCATTGTTATCCATCATTCCGAGATATGAGGAAATTGCGTAGATACAGTATAACATGTTAGCAAAGAGATTCTGACTATAGATGCGCCTAGTGATTATTTGCTGTAAGCAGGAATTGGAGTCGATTAGGCCTAACTTTCTCTAACGTTCACAGCGCACGCGAGAAACTATATTAATAAGTACAACTTGTTAATTGCCGGACCTGAAAACAATGTAACCTTTGAAAGACGGTGATACTTGTCGGTTGAAAATAGTAGGTCCCTGATGCACGAGTGAGAAGAACTGAGGGATAAAAGGTTCGTGGAGACTCATTGTAAACGCAATTTAGCGCATTAGACAAGTCAAGGCGTTTGGCCATCATTATCTCAGGTCTTTTCATACGAATTAATTATCTGAGACTACGGTCGGGATTCTCATTTCTTAATAGTCAAACTGTGCAGTAGTAGTTATCCCGCAATTTTCAGCGTTTGACTCGGCAACAGCCAGATGCTGAGGATATGCAATAGTAATTACATGGGCACCAAGCTATATCAAATTATTTGCTCAATTTTAAAACTCGTGCATATCTTCAAAACTGTATCCAAAGACCCTGTGTCAGTTGGCTCAATTATTCTAAAATGTCTGACGAGGTGGCGCAGCGATACATACTTGGCAGTGTAGAACTGGTTCCCTATTTGCTCGGCAGCCACCAAGTGAAATAAGTTCAAGAAAAGAGCGCTGCCTAGACTAATAAGAAATCTTCCAGTCACCATTTGTCCCTCCCGATCACCTATACTGTGTCTAGGATTAGGCATCTGTCTAATTAAATAATCCTGGCGTGGTTTTCTTTAATGAATATCCTTACTTGCCAGCTCAAAGTGGCTGTATCGATGGAATTTCCTCAAGATTAACTCCACTTCCACGATTCAGAATCTTGGAGGGCAACACTGAACACGCGTCCGCGGTGTCCTCTGTCAATCTAAGAGTGGAATATTCTTCCGGAACTAAGCCAAGTCAAAATTTCGCTATATCGAATAAGTTGGCCGACGAAGTGAAGATTAGATGTCCCCTATCAAATAAATTTCTACTCCCAAAAAGACTATTTCCGACTATGGCGTTGTCCTATCTACATGCACGACCTAGTACATCCTCATTTCTGTGACCATACCTCATGCTAAGTGAGTCTCTGGCCTAAAATGGCCTACAAAGATACGCATACACCGATAAATAGCTAAATATAATCTGAAATTTATCTGCCAAGGGCCCTAAGCAGTTTGGCAATGCAAATACGAAGTGAGCACATGGGGCTTAACTCGTATTTACACAGAAGAAAAGTACCCGGAGTCTACAGTCCAAGCTGTCCACGCGGCTACCAATCGTAGAACCCCAAGCACATGATTATGTCCTGCCCTCGATGGTCAAATGGTAGAGCTGAGATCTGGAGACAAGCCAAAGATCGATCCTACGAAGCGATGATAAACAATCCTGGAGATATAAAAAGGATAACACAGTGGATCCTAAACCATGGTCGGATAGAGCAATTCCAGATGACAAAGGCGGTCGATATACTACTGAGGGAAAAAGGTCAAATAATGCTTGGGGCGGATAGAGATAATCTGGTTAGTTTACATGAATGGCACTTTAGTGTAACTGCGCTTCCTGAAGATAATATGTGAGAACTACAGACAAAAAGTAGAAAGGTGTGTGAGGTTTTCACCATAAAGGTTTCCTCCCGGGTAAATATTATAGACTGTAGACACCTGCATGGGCACATAGGGCGCCAAATCCGGATATTGAAATCAAATTCAAAATTCAAATCCAAAATTGAAATACATACCAAATATTACCCCCTACATATTATCACCCCTGTGACTCTACTTCCAAAATCTCTTCACAGGTAATGGACGGATTTTTCCAGATTAGTATCTCTTGAAATTTATATCAAGCGCAAGTCGTCAGGTGCTTGCTACTTCTATTTGATCAATGACCACTAACAGGAAAGCTTTCTGAGTTTTAGAAGAGCTGCAAGGAAACAAATTGGGTTCACACCATGTGAGTTAGTCATAGTAGTATAGTGATCTTCTGCTGTGACTAAAGGCTGTGCGGAAGTCATGCCGTGGAATGATGATGAGTGGACGAAGTTATATTTTGTGGGCAACAGTGAATAGACTCACACAGTATTATGATGTAGGTTTATGAATAGAGAGTGTAAGAATCAACCTGTGTCCTATTCTTGAGGATACATCTATGAAACTAGATACATGCTCGCCTAACCAGTACACTGGTGATGTATGCTGTGGAGAATGTGGAGAATGTGGAGAATGCGTGAGTGTGTTTATTGTCCTAATGAGTCTATAACTATGTAAGGACATGTAGGTCCTTTCTGCCTACAGGCCGGGAGTATCTATGCCTCGGGTAGTGTACACCCTCCTTTGCCCCCTTCACGACTTCTTTCCAGCAGTAATAACCCCACAGGTCTTCATTCGAGTACACACTAAGAGGAGCCGTTATCCCGTCATTATCTCCCCTCTCCAGCCAACTAAACGATGGCTATTTACGGGTGTGTAGCTGCAGGGAAAAGTCTCAAAAACCACTGGGTGCGGGGCTCCTATGACGAAGAGGCCGGCCAGCCGGGCGCAGCAGACCTGTATATACCTAAGAGTATCTCTCAACCTTCCTAGCCTCCTCCTTACTCCTCCCCTGATTCATGCCGCAGGACAAATCGTAGGTCGTGAAAGGATGTCAGAAAAGTCTTGGTCGAGAGTGACAGTCGTGAAGGAGCCTAGCCTAGCATCTAAAAGTCGTTACGGACGCGGGGTCGTCGAGTAGCTCATGTATTTCAGATGCCCTCCTGGCTGGTAGATTCGGAAGGTATAGATTAGTAGGGACAATAATGTAGACGAGTCGAAATCTGCTTTTCTTGAGGGCGGAAGGGTCTTTTACTTTGCTTTCGTGGGCTTTTTGTTCGCCCGCCGGTGGGTAGCACATGTTGTGATATAACAAGGGCTTCTCTGACTACCGTTGTAGCGTTTGGTACCGCATTATCCTTCCTCATTCCCAGCATCATTATCGTCATCGTGGTCGTCTTATGTGTTATCGGAGGCGTATCTTTGACGGAGGGGGAGATAACTCAGCTTAAAGTTGATAAGGTGTTACTCAATCTCGGCTCTGCAGACTCTACAGTGAGAGCTGGAGGTTCATAGGGGACACCATTGACAGGTGTTGAGAATAGTACCCCAAACATTTCCTTATGTAGAACAGCGCTGGGAAAAAGAAAATGTCTCCTCCATGTAATTATTAGTTGTTATTTTGGAGTGAATTGAGGCAGACAGTAATTAACTGATACCAACATCGTTACAACAAGCTTGTCACGAAACGCGCCCACCTGAAATATTCCGACACTGAGCTATCCAGACCTTACTTGGGAAACCGGCCAAGATGATGTACCACCGCACCATCCAACCACATTAGTTGTTCAAGTGTCGCTTACACTCTCCCAACTGAAGTCTTGGGATGACGAGACTGAACAACTGTACGCGGTGTCCTCTTCGTACCTGGGAGCAAATTATTCTCCCAAAACCAAGTTGAGTCAAATTTCGCAATATCAAAGAAGTTGGCCCACGAGGCAAAAATTCAAAATACCCCACCACGTCGTTTTCTCGCTCCCAAAGAGTTTGACGCTTACCTATGTCTCATCAAGCCTACAAGTACGACCAAGTATATCCTCATCCCAATGACCACACCTCTCTTCGACTTTCTCCGGCCTCAGCTCGTCACCAAATACACGCCCACGCCGATATTTACACCCGACGAAGGATGCAGAGCGTGGCGCACAAATCTAGGAGGCAGTTCTTTGGGATGTACATGTGAGGGATCAGGAAAGGTTTACAAGATGGCACAGATGATGGATACAGTTTTAACGGTTGTGATATTTCTAAATTTGGCAAGAGTTTTACAAATTGAGCTTTGTGCGCGTCAAGACTTCGTTTGCGAGAGTGCAGCTGACACATTAAAAATAAGTCAACGATGGAAGGTGTAGTGATCCGCCTCCTGGTGATGTTCTCCAGTATAGTTTGAGTAGCCTGGGTACCTACTTCACTTGGAAAGGAGACATCTCAGGTCACATTTCGCGCGGAGAAAAGTCATTTGATGATGGAAGCATGTCTGGGTAACTCAGGGTTTTTGAGACGTTCCCCTGGGTGGGTATTCACGGATGAGGGTTGACTTGGGGTGAAGAAGAAGCCACCATAACTTCGCAGTGGTACTTGCAAATGAAATCCGAGGCATAAGTGCTCTTCCTATATGTTGAATAATCTATTCTGTACTTTTCTTTGATATTGTGTCATAGCTAGATAGCTGCATACGCAATTAAAATTTGATGCAAAAAAAATACAGAACGTAAATGTCTCAAAAGTCAGAATGGCCGTATCACGTTTTCACAGAGCAATGATAATAAATTTGGATGGCTGAGCCGGCAAAGACGAATTCTTCACCTTCCAGTGGTGCCGGTGTAATCGCTCAGTATGCTCTGTATATCTGGGATAGCCAAGAAGAATCGCATCCGGATCGAAGTCGAAAGCAAACACATGCATATCTCCATTGGACGACCTATCAACCATGCAGCACTCACCATTATCTTCTGAGTCCTCAACCTCGATCTAACCACATATCATCTCACCTCGACTACCGATAAAGGCCTCACCCCAATTGCAAACAGGAGCTTGCCTCATTCGTTATCGGCCATCACTCTGTAAATATTTACGACGCTATTTATACCCACAAGGAGGAAATCAAGTCGAAAAATACAAAGTTGGGGTCTTGGTTTGTGAGGGACTGCTGCTCTAATGGGGTTATATATCTTGAGGAAGAACTAGCGGCTGAGATGTGGAGCGAGAGAGGAAAGAGGTCTCTGAAGACCATGCTAGGACTGACATTTTTGAGGAGTTTTCAACTTTGGATTTTTTGTGGGCGCCAAGACCAAGATTTCGGCTAATTAGCCAGGAGGGCTTCTTTCGTCGATGAGTCAACGGCACTCCCCAGTGCCCTGGACGGTATAAAAGAAGTCGGGCTAAGCTACTATACAGCAATCACGCTCTGTCAAGACTTTTCTGACATTTCAGCACGACCTTCAGGAAGGAATGGGAAGGAGGCTAGAAAGGCAGAGTGTAAATTCTTCGAGGTACCCACAAGTCTGCAGCGCCCAGCCGGCCGGCCTCTTCGAACGCTTCAAAAGGGGCAATATGTCTTCGGATTTATTCCTAATGTCGGTATTAGAAGAGCCCCGCACCCAGTGGTTTTTGCGATTTTTCCGGCCGCCATACACCCGCAAACGGCCATCGTTTCGTTGGCTGGAGAGGGGAGATAATGAAGGGCAAAGGGCTCCTTTTAGTGTATGATCGAATAAGGACTTGTGAGGGGTGGTACTGTTTGAGGAGAGCTGTATGGGAGGCATAGGAGGGGATATACTACTGGCATAGATATACTTGGCCTATAGGCAGAGAGGACCTGCATGTCCTACATAGACATAGACTCAGACAGGACAATAAAATGAATGAATATAGATGGCTGTAGAAATGTCACTAAATCCAAAGAAAAGACAAATAGCTCAATAGCTGGCCATTGCTTAGTAAGCTACGAAGTGTGCAAAGTATTGTAAGAACGACGTGTGGCAATGCGATCATGATATTGTGGTATCGATAGGACCTCAACCAATCAAAAGATCAAAGAGCAAACTCGGGTGGTTTGACTATGAATGGTACTAAAGGCTTACAAGATACACACTTTCCTGCAAAAAAATACACGACATGACTCTAATTGAAAACTACCTCAATGCTGTTGCAAGCTTTCTCCGAATTAGAGATGGATCCCAACTTCAAAAGCTCTTTCAGGTAGAGCCCCCCCTACCCTTTGAATTTAGCCAGCTTTCTATCGAAACAAAAAATCGATTTCCCAAGGAAAATCCGGACAGCCTTGATGGGTCAAACGAGAAGATAGATCGACTCATCGAAAAGCTAGTCCCCATATCAGAAGAGGAATTCATAGATAGTAATGAAGTTGGATCCGCATGGCCGGCATTTCAGATTCTTGTCCGTGAATATTTGAAGTTTTGGAGAGATGTAGATTTCAGTGATCCATTGACAACCCACACACTTCTAAGTGAAGTGACCTAGTATACGAACCTCTTCCTCAGCATTTAAATCGAATTGACGTTTTCCAGCGCATGCATTACATCTTTGTCGCATCCCTCCCACGGAAGTGTCCTTCTTCCAGCAGCTGTATATCTGTGCTCTTGTTTGGCAAAGTTGACTATGATGCTTGATAAGAGACCTGATTTAACGGCAAGGATACGAAAGTTTGCTGATGAGGGAGAGAGAAAAACGCTGGTCGAGAGCACTGCGGAAACTATACAGAGAGCGTTTACGATATGCCTGACTGAACGGACGACGAATAGAAATGGCATTGCCCGTGAAGGTGGACCCGAATCCAAGAAGGTAGAAATATATAAATTTGCCAACATGGTCCTTCGGCTTTTATACCAAGTAGGGACTTCTTAATGATAACTTTGAACTTTCTGACGCCTCTAAAGTGCCGAAAGCCACGCCTGGCTAGCCAAATATTTACCAACATATTACAAAACTCTCCACCACTTGGAATTTACCCAGCCTGTCAGCGTGTAACTTATCTATATTTTCTCGGTCGGTACCATTTCACGACAAATCACTTTTATCATGCTCAGTGCTGTCTTGAAGCTGCATATAGCCAATGTCCCAATAAATTTATCAAACACCGCCGGCTTATCATGATACATCTCGTCTCCGCAAACATAATATTGGGTCGCTTCCCTTCAAAGGAACTATTTTCCCGTCCCGAAACAGCCGATATTCTTGCCAAGTTCTTGCCCTTGGTCAAAGCAATTCGAACTGGTGACATGATACTGTTCAAAAAAGCTCTAGGACCGGAATCGGGGAATCAGAGGTGGTTTTTTGAAAAAGGCATCCTACTTCCTTTACTTGGACGCTGCGAGATGCTGGTATGGCGATCACTCGCAAGAAAAGTATTTCTTCTCACATATCACTTTCCTCTGGATCCAAACTCACGAAAGGCGCCGACGCTGGACGTTCAAGATATGGTTACAGCCGCGCAATACTGTCAGAAAGTTCTTGAAGGCTGGAAGATGCCCATCGATAACATCGCCGTAGCACAATCTGGTCGTCTGCACCCTAACACCTTGTTTAACAAGCCGCTTCATCTAACCCCACCACCCGAGGGCCCAAGGAAACTAGGGGCCCAAGAGGGCTTAATATACGGAAATATAATGCCAGATTATATGCATATAGAAGCCATAATTGCAAGTTTAGTACAACAAGGCTTAATTTATGGGTTTCTTAGTCATAGCCAGGGGAAATTCGCTATTATTGGATCGAAGCAGAGAGGAGGTCCGGTTAGAGCAGGATTCCCAAATATTTGGGAAACTTTGAAATCAAAGGCAGAACAAGAAGGAAAAGACTCAGAAATCCCAGGTTGGGTACAACAACGAACTATAGGAGCTGGCGGTGTGATTAATCTAAGTGGCGCTAGGCTCGCTGGTGCCGACTAAGTGTTCGTCTGAAAAAAAAAATAACAGAATTAATCCTCTCTACGATCTTCAAATACAGGCTGCAATGTAGCGATACCGACAAGTCAGAGAAAACTTAGTTGACCCAAAAATTTAACGGCTGTCACGAGAAATCATAAATAGTCCTTGCAAGCAGGTTTGCAGGACTGCGACTACACCTATTCATCAATCTAACGCTAGGCAAAAAAATTTTAAAGAAATTGTTGTAGTAATAATTTATTGTAGGGTGATATTGACTACCTTAATACTGACTCTAGATATATAGTTGATCACTGTCTCTTTTAACGGCTAGCTATGGGTAAATTTATTTTTCCCCAAAGAGTTTTCTCTGAAGTTTCTTTTCTAATTTCCTGTATGAACAGATATCCCGCTCCCATCCCACGAGAATATAAGGCTTCGCCTCTGTCTAAGTTTGAAAAGAAATAATTTATAAGTGGCGATATTCAACTAGTAGGCTTCGGGCCTCTTTCTTTCATGTATACCAGTTTCTTGCTCCTGGGGCTACCATAGGACGGAATTGCCTTTTTTTGTATGACAGATCCTTCAGCTTGAGGAAAATTTTACAAAAAGCAGCGTATATGCGGTCTAAATGCTGACTCAGTTATGGAATCAAATTTTGATGAGGACCAGAATTGAAGAAATATACATGACTGGGTCAGGCCTCCACCTGATAAAAGCTGATTTTATGTGTCCAAGTCCAAAACCTTGGGAAATTATTAATAGCTCTTGCTAGGTTCTAACCAAACTGAATCATCCTGAATGGTCCAAAGGTGGTAAATAGCAGCGCTTTGATGTTCCATATATAGTCACAATATTAACCGATAATCCTAGTTGAATCTAGTTTTATGTTTGCAGGTTACGACGAGATATTTTTATTTAAATATTTTATGACTTTGTAGCCTCATTACTACTATGATAATGTAAGCTACCGTTTGACTGATCCTGAGTTATTTTGCCTACTCACAGCTCACTTTTCTGTATTCGTGGCTGAGCGGGTTCCGAAAAGTACCCCTCTAGATCCATCCACTCTCCAGCGAAGGCCGTTATCATTTTTGCCCAATCATCCATTGTAGGTAGATCTAACACATCGGCATTATCGGCCATGGTGTGCCAGACCTTGGGGAACCTGGCAGGAATGAGGTGTAGTACTTCTACTCCACGCTTCATTAAGGGGATATGATCATCCTGAATCGTGAGCTCACTGTTAAACTTGGACTTTTCGCTGTCGGGGAGTATTGGACTTGTGACTACAGTCTTCAGTAAGCCGAGGGAGCGCATGCGAGTCTCGATGCTGGCGAGGTTCTTGTAGGCCCAGTGCGTCGTCTCGAAATAGGAGGGGATAACAGTGTTTGCGGCACCAAGCAGATCGAGAAGGACTAGGAGGTCAATTGAAGAAAGCTTGTTGTGATACATGGACATGGCAGCGTGGGGAGTAGCTTCCCAGGCTTCTGCGAGCGATCTGGATACTTAGCACAGGCCATGAATGAGTCAAAGGAGAAGTTTACCTCGAGCCGTAGAGTGAGTCGGTGGCAGACCAGCTTTGGAAAGCTTCCTCACCGTCAAAGAGGATAATCTGGATACCCGAGCTGCCAGCGATACCTTTATGCTGATCTGATTCCATAGCTGTCCACTTGCGGGTAAGGGCGGCATCAAGACTGCGCGCGGCGTGCATTACCATAGCACACGGCGCAGCACTATCGGTGGCGCCGATGAATCCGGGAGGGTCATACTTGGAATCAAAATGTGCGGCGAGAGTGAGGTGGCCCACGTCGCCTGGCGTAGTCCAAGGCGGATCGCGAGTCAAGATGAGGTTGACAAAAGGCACCTGGCGCGTCCCAGTAGCGGGCGTGGTCGAAGTTGAGTTTTGGAAGGTAAGCTGCCAGTGCGGCAGTTGTGTCGTGAACCAGTCAACGAAGTGGCGTTGTACCTTGGTTGAGCCCTCGGTGCCAGAGACGCGAGGAATCAAGATGGGCGAGAGGATGGAGCCGGTGTGAACATCGAAGTCGGTGCCGACGGATGGGATCCTTTGCAGAGTGTCATTGGAGAGCGGCGTATATGCATCGACTCTCTGGATCATAAAAGGCCAGAGAAGAGTATGCAGGAGGAGGTGCATCGCCATTATGCGAAAGACTTGACGGAAGTGGATGATTGCTAGAAAGCGATAGGGAACGGCTATCCAGTGCCAAAGGAATCGATTCCTGTGACTTGCGTGAGATTGCCTTTGGCGGGAGGATTCCTAGAGCGTTAAAGCCGCAATAGGTCCCAGCGCGAGAGATGAGTGGTCTCTGTCACTGAGACTCGCAAACGTCGGGCATGACGGGTTTCTCGAAGAAGATAAAATTCACTCTTTTTATAGGCCACGTTGTGAGCTTGACATTTTCCAAGAAACTCCGAGCCCTCCCAATTTGAAGAGAAACCTCGTATACAAATTATTCAAGCTGGCCAAACATGGATAGTGAGTGATCGCTGCTACACCACCTACGGCTCTCGCTTAAGGCATTGCTTACCGCTTCCGCTTCGTGAATTAGTACGCGACGTAAACAAAGAAACCAGCGCTACAAGACACGCTGTTGCTGCCACACCGCAAGTGTAGTTCACCTAATGATATCAGGCTAGTCTGGCAAGTCTGCAGGCCCATAACGTGCAACGGTTCTCTTGTGTTGGGGCTCGGATGCTGCGCTGTTCTCAAAAGAACTTAGCATACAAATGAGCCACTAGCAGGCACCTGAGATTTGTTCAGTCAACATTATATTTCTACTATTCGCGTGAGGTTGAACTTGTTGTGTTCGCAAGACCAACCTTGGAGTTTTATTGTTCCATTTCTTACGCGTCCATCTCGCCATAGCATTACTTATCGACTCTATACACGGGGGTTACAAGACTTTTGAGATGCAGACTGTCACTCCTGATTTACTGAATATTGATCCTTTCGTCGTATTTTCAGGTCAACAATATTACGGCAACTGCGTACCGGTGGGTGGGTCACACCAAGGTATGTTAACATGAGTCTTTCTTCAGACATTTGGCCTGAAAATAGGACTAGCCCTACAACCCTTGCGCGAAAAGGAAATATCACGTGACTGTGTTTCCATCTCAATCGGACAGCCCGAAATGATGCAAGCAACCACGAGAGAGATTTCTAGCGATTGAAACTCAAGCAATTGGGGCTCAACTTGTACGTGTCGTGCTCAATTTCTAGTTATGTGGTTTGGGCTTTGCTCCTAAACTTAAGGGGGACTATTCTCAACACCTGTCAGTGGTGTCCCCTACGAACCTCCAGCTCTCACTGTAGAGTCTGCAGAGCCGAGATTGAGTAACAAAGTCCTCACTTCGAAGAGGATTCCCAATCGCTTTCGCGGTCTGTATCGTCTTCATCTCTCAACACATTCCCCTATCACCACTATCATGAAGCTAACCACGATCAGATCAGATGGTAGGGTCGGAGCCCTACTCATCACCCACCCTTGATCATGGAGGAAAAGCCATCCGATGAGTTTCCGGAGCGTACCCAGCACCCGATACGGAGATGGTGGATTGGATCAAGTCGACCTCGGCTATTACAAAGAAGGGAGATATAGATGAATATGCGCACCTCATGTGGTCCCGGTGTCTAGGCCTCGCCTGGCTGGGGCTGCAGGTTTTTTTGAGACTTTTTCCCGCGCACGCAGTTTCCATTGCTACCATTTTTATTTTTTTTGGGTAGAAGGTTCCGTGGAAAAGGTGGCTGAATTCCACGGGTAAATACTGAGCTGAATGGCTATTCATCAAGGGGAATATATCAATGATCTTTCAAGTAACAAAAGAGGATAGGAGCACTGTACAAGGTGTGGCCTGGGTCAGAGAGGAGCCCAATGTGCTAGATAGTCATAGACTCAAGTAGTACAATAAAACACACACACACACACAATTTCTAGTTAGGGGCGAGAAGAGTCATCAACGCAACCAAGAAATTTATGCCGGGCTTTCGGGCCACGGCAGGGGCAAGGGACGTGCGTATAACCACAAGGCCATGACAGTGACGGCAGACAGGGGCCTTCAGTTTATGACTCACATGCCAAGATCCAGCGAAGAGGACACCCAGCTTCTGGAACAGCAAGGTCACGTGACATAGGGCCACGAGTCTTGGTGGGCAAGCGAGACGGTGCCATTAGGGCGAGCTGAGGCGGCCATCACGTTGTCAATACTCTCCAAGATATTGAAGTTATCACGGCCTCGCACCCGATTGATAGAATACCTCATAATACCTTCGACCGTTCAACGACTGCACTCTTAACACGCTCGAACTTATCATCGGCTTGCGCGATGAGCGACTCGGAAACTTTCATCCAGTTGCCCCTCGAGATGGACGCCGACTCCAAGGTCGTCACCATGCCCGAAGTCTACAGCACTCCCTCTCACACGGCGGAGCTCGCGGCTCTCAACGATCTGCATCGACAGCTAATCGCACTCAATGCGCCCATTCCGCCGCCGCCGCTACCTGTCAACCCCAAGCGCTCCGCCAACGTCACGAAGCTGCGTGAGTCCGGTAATACCTACTTCCGCCAGGCCAAGCACGCCGATGCTTTACGCATGTACTCTCTCGGCCTCGAAATGGCCCTCAAACGGCCCCTTTGGGAGCCCTGCGCCCTCTCACGCGATGAGGTTGCCTGTCTCTACGCCAACCGTGCCCAAGTCCACATGGCCATGCAGAACTGGCCACAAGGTGCCATCGACGCCGAGTCTAGCGTCGAAGCCAAGAAAGCCGGAAACGCCAAAGCTTGGTGGCGTAGAGGTCGCTGTCTATCGGAAATGGGCCGGCTCGACGAGGCGAGGGAATGGTTGATTCGCGGTCTAGAAATCGAAGGTGATGAGGCCGACTTATTGTCTCTCTTGAAGGAAATAACAAAGACGAAAAAACGGAACAATAACTCAGTCTAAAAAATCTGGTGTGCTGCGTGTATAACAAACTATGGGCTCCTCTTGCCGGACGGAAATTTTGGGGTCTTCACAGGGCTGCATGGTGTTTATTTTTTTTGGCCAGACACAATCACAGACGAACAGTACTCGCAATTCTCGTAAGGAAACGTTAACGGCGCCATTTTTCATTGTATCAGAATCTAGTCTAAGTAAAATTATTCCTACGCATACAAACCAAACAGATTCGTGACCCCCGTATTCCCGTAATAGCACCTTCTTGCTCTTGGTATCTTATAAAGCTTCTCCAAAAGGATAGTTAAACTTCAACAGTCCGTTCAATCCCCCGACCCATCCATCATCATTGTTATCTACACCACTTCTAGTGCCACGCATTACACACGGGACCCCTCCTGTCCAATCATGACCTCGGATGATATCGTTGGCACAAACACGGATCTCCATTCCGACACCGATCCCCTTAACTTTGACCTGACCGTCAATTGTTACAGCTAGCTCACGTCCTCGATTTTTCTTGCTGAGGCGAAGCGTAATAGGTGTGTTGGCGGGGAGAACAAGGGGTCGGAAAGAGAGGCTGCGAGGACAAATTGGTGTCATGAGAATGCTGCTGACAAGTGGATGGACAATACTACCACCAGAACTAAGGCTGTAAGCAGTACTTCCCGTAGGCGTGGCGATTATAATGCCATCGGCGACCGCTTCTGTGAGGAATCTTCCCCCAACAAAGACCTCAATGATGACAAGATGTGTCTCTTTACCTCGATGGATGACTACCTCATTCATTGCACAAACGTCCTCCTTCTCGCCTATGGCTTGATTAAATCTTGTGACGCGATTTCCCTCCTCATCAAATACGCCGACTTGAACTCGGTTTCGTAGGAGTATTTTGGAGCTTCTCGTGGGGCCCATTGACTTGCCTCTGACGCCCGACCACCCGGTCATAATCTTCTCATCTGGAGCCTGTATCTGTGCATGGCTTTGGCCTTGTAAAAGTGGTGAGCCTGCTGCAGCTCCTGACATATACACTTCGCGAAATGCCCGCTTGTACTCATCAAATTTCCACTCTCCCAAGAAGCCAAGTGTACCCATGCTAAAGGAGAGAATAGGTGGAACGTGAGATGTTGTATTGAATAGGGAGGATGCGTGTAAAATTGTTCCATCTCCGCCTAGCGTCGTGACTAGATCTACCTTCGTGGAAAAAAGATTCAAGGATTCCGTGGTATAGATGGGAAAGTTAAATAGTTCGTGCGTTTCAGCCGCGACTTTAGCTTCAAATATTAAGGAAATGTTGTTATAGTTAGCATGAATGTGCCTAAGTCTTGTTAAAATAGCCTTAAGGAAGAAGTTGAAGATATACTTGACATATTCTACTAGATTATCGGTAATTTTTGATGCACCATCTTTCTTTACGATGAATATATTTTGGGGTGGAGAGGGCCATAGAAGAGATAGTAAGTCATTTCGCGGTGTTTCTACTGACAGTTGGTAAGTTCTTCTATCTACACTTGGATTGATACCTTACCAAGATATTTAGGAATTATTTTATTCGGCAAGTTTCGAACATCCAAAACTTCCCCGCTGGATCGCGAAGTGCTGAATGCCCTATACCAAGCCGGACGGCTAGGTATCCTTCGCAAGATCATGGGGTAAAGCTAATTTGCTTTCTGCAATTCCATGCTCAAAGTGAATTGTGAAGAGCACACGCTGCATGCTTTAAGGCTCGTATCAGATACTCTGCTGTCGAAATTACTTAAGGTCGAAAGCTTACCCAGACTTATACCTCGCGGAAAATCTTCCTCGGAATTAAGACAAGTGAGCTTTGTCAATGAAGATAAGGCGAATATTGAGATGCTAATATAATTGGTTGACAATACAATTTTTTAGCTTGACCTGTCGATTGAGGGCCACTGACTGTACAGTAGTACAGATAGATTCTGATGTGCCGGCGACACTGCTTACCCTTGCCTGTAAGATTTTAAACCCTGCATCGTCCGCATGGGGGGTGTGGGTAATTAATATGAAAACATCAAGTCAGCTTGGTATGACTAGTAATATGAGGCTTAGTTGTTAGGGCCCGGCAGAGGAAGACCTGAACTGTTTAAACTCGATAGTGTTCTGAACACCAGGTCGAGATCGTTGGCCTAATCAAATGATTTATCATCTAATGAATATATGTCTAGCTCATTTTTTTGTTTGTTTACTATTTAATGATCTTTGGGGCTCCAGGCCGAAGCTCGGACCAGCAGTGTCTCCTAAATTATCTCGAGGGATGGATCCTTGTACTCACTGCCCTGGCGGCTCTGTTCCTGCATCTCCCCGACTCGGGATGTCGGAATCTCTACATCCAAGGTAAGTGCGATCTGTGGCAAAGCTCACAAACCAAATATAGCACGCTTCAAAGATTTACCATCTATCACATTTTTGGATCTGTGCGTCTTGAGCCCGGACTCGACTCGTATAAACATAGATGGAGAGTTCCAGTAGTCTACAGCACAAGATATTCAATTGAATACAATCTCTGAGGCTCAGGCACACGATTACGTCCTGCCCTCAAAGGCCAATTGTTTGAGAAATTGCGAGATATTTGGAGACTAGCCTAGAATCGGTCCTTCCAAGTAATGAAAAATAAACTTTACGATATCAAAAGGACAACACAATATATCTTAGATCACAGATGGATAGAGAAATGTCAGCTAACGCAAGAGTTCGAATTGCTGCTAAGAGAGAGAGAAACAGAACGATAAATCCTTGGGGTCAATGGAGTGTATGTGATTCGCTTGCATGTATGGAATTTATGCGTAACTGCGTTTCCTAGATAGCATATCAGAAAATCAAAGGAATGATACCTCGAGGATCGATGTTTTTTCCACCCATAGGCTTCCTGGCCTGTAAATATTTATGATCGTAGATACACGGATAAGCTTTTTGAGAACCAAATTAGGTCAAAGAAATTGAGTGTACAATTTATCGAGCTAGCTGGCTATGCCGCGTGACCAGTACCTTGGGGGATAATGACCAAATATCAGACAATACTATTCTTTGCGAATTTGAGGTAGAATACTATCCCAGCGCTGGAATATTGCCAAATTTCATATTGACGAGGCTTACTTTGCATCGGCTTTGAATTGCGTATGCAGCTATCTAGATTTGAGACAGTTTTGGAAAATGAGTATGGAACAGCTGACTCAATTTAAAAATAGAGCACTCTTGCCTCAAATTTCCTTCGCAAGTACCACTGCGAAGCTATGGCGCCTTCTTCTTCATCCTAATTTAGACCTTATGCGCGTTCACTCACCCATGAAAACATGTAGAAATCCCTGGATTATCCAGATATGCCTCCATCATCCAAGGCGTCTCTTTAAATGGAGTAGGTGCCTAGGCTACTCAAAATATACCAGATAACACCACCAGGAGTCAGACCACAGAACTGTCGTTTAGTTAATCAATTGATTATTCTGGATATTCATATAATTGATAGTGTTAGGAGTACCGGCATATCTGCTTAGGTAAACAGCTTGGATTTGAATACTAAGACTCAATATATATTACTAGCTCTCTTTGGATAGAATAAAGAGTAAAGTTCTATATTTTTAAATATTTATCATCAGTTAAGTGAAGTCACAAGAACCTTCCATCGTTGGCTTGTTTTTGTCGTGTCAGCTGCACTCTCGCAATCTAAGTATTACCGCGCAAAATAATCTCCAACATGTAAAAATCCTTGCGCAAATTCAAAATCTTACACCCGTTGAAGTTGTATCTTTTCTTTGGATCATCTTGTAAAATTTCCTGATCTCTCTCACATCAATCACAAAAAACTGTCTCTCCAATTTGAGCGCTAATATTTGCTTCCTCCGTCGGGTGTAAAAAACGACGTAGGCGTATACTTGGTGATGACACCCGACATCGACCCATCTGGGCTCCAAGTACACGCCCTCAACTATGAGAATATACGTATGAGGAAACAGATCGTTGCGTACAATATTGATGAGTTAGATCTATGGGGTAACGCTAAGGATAGATAAAATCTAGGCTGTAGCGAACTTCCAAATACATCTGGTTTGGTCTCTCAAGTATTGACTGGATAGTTTGGAACACTATCTTATTAGAGATTGGAAATCAATGGATCGAGCCTAGTGACTCGACCGTAATTTTCGGAGTGCTCGTGTCCAGGATGATGACACACTTGGATAATCAAATGCTTTGAAACTTTACTCTGATGTGTACTTATGGATGAGGGTTGTCTTTTGGTTTTGGTGTATATATTGCACCTTGAGTCTGGCTATCTCGCACGTTAAGCTCCTCTCCGACCTAGAAAATACCTTGAATAATACTCCTATTTTTGCGAAAATAAGGTCTCTGATATATTGTTCGCAGTTGAAAGCTATCTAGATCAGTTATTATCAGTTGAATTTAACCTCTTCATCCGTAGAACTTTCTATCCAGAAAAAAAACGGCAATGGAATAGCGTGCATGAGGAAAATTATCTGAATCCTGTAGCCCCGAAAGACATGGCATAGACAATAAAATAACACTGGCAGTCAAAATATGGATGCTGGAAAAATAAAAATTTGCCTTTATGACAGAATATTTGTCCTATTTTCGCATAGCATTTGATTTCCGTAATGGATTCACATTCCCCATATGTTGGAGCATGTCTCATGCGCAAGAAATGGCCTTAAATTTGCTTCTCTATCCTAGCATTGAAAATTCCCAATGCTATGTGAGAGCTTTCTACCCAAGCAAATGTAATCCCTAAAAAATTGCTTTGGTCTCAAGTTTACAGTATTGAAGTTGAGCCAAATTGGCATATGTTTTTCAGAGGTAGACCCCTTGGTGAACCAGTAATGGGGATCCCACCATGAGATTAAGGTGTCGGTAAAAGGATCATATTTGGGCAGTATGAATTGTTCTATCTTACTGCGGTATTCAGGTTGTCGTTAGGACACTGCCAGGGATCTGACTTAGCTCATTAGCGAGGCGCTTGGAGTAGAGGAAGGGGAGATGGAGAGGGAAAAGGGAGAGACAACGTTTTATGTATTTCGAGATACCAGTTAATTGACATTATTCACCGACTTCGTGACGGACAGCTGACTTCGTGACGGCACTCAATTTGTATTACTTCGTGTTTTACCAACATAAGGAAACCCCCGATTAGAATGAAAAGGTAAAGTTGTATTTAAATAGTCTGTCCTACATAGTTGTAAACTCAAATAGGATATAAATGGATAATTAAATAAATTCAGAGGCAGATAACTTGAATTGAGCCAATTCCTTAGTGCCATTTTCATTGGCAAAATATCTACTTTGATAAATTCAAGTCAAATACCGCCCCTTTTAAAGTTGAATTGGTAGTATGCTCTTGTTTGCAGAATGAATTTTATCGATATTTGTGATTTTCTGATCCCCTTGAGGATCCCAGATTGACAGACGTTTAGATTAGTACGATGCTCTATTAAATTGTAATGCTTATGTAATGTTGTTCATTTCGGAGTCCAGGCGCAAGATAAGGAATACTGTAATTAAATAGACGATACCTTGTGTTATCAGAACATGAAAGTTACATCTAGTCTTAAGCTCTACTTTACATATTGGTAGTTTGGAGCCACGAGACACCTGCAGCCCACACCTTCATCCTGCTAAGCTTATCTCACTTTTCACACATTCTAATCCACTAGGATCCTCACCCAGCCCGCCTAAAGCTCACCAAAGTTGCTTATCCACAAGAATCAGAACGCAGATGAGATGGCTGTAAAGTGTTGGTGGGGGAATGAACTGAATCCAATACAAGTTGGGGTCCCAACTCAGTATATAAGCATAAAGGACAGCTGGGTACTCTCTAGGAATAAATTCATTGCATTTACGCGCAATTGATCTATTCAGTGAGTATCGACGGATGCTGGGTACCAGACCCGAGGATTGGGGGAGAGGGGTAGACTTTCGGGCGAACCACTGACTAGGTTGGGATTAGGGCTGAATACAGATCTCAGGATATAGGGTAGCTAAGATTCAAAGATATTTGAAAACAGTCTATAGAGGTAGTATAATTTTTGGTGGAAACAGAAATAATTAAGCTCTATATCGAAACTCAGTATTAATATTTCTATTACTACCTAAGTTTTGTTACAAGAAATTCAACTGTAAATTCATCTACACGTATGATGATTGATTTAAGGATACTCATGCCGTTCCTTTGTTGTAAAAATGTGAGCTACAGCAAGCTTTGTCTAATAAACTCGGTCCGACAAAGTCTATTTGATTTAGTAATTATAGATAGTTCTTCTTTATATCTGTAGGAAGTAGGGTTATACTAAAGCTAATATTATTTTGTATTATGATCTTCTCATCATTTTTGATCTCTATATCTAGAACTCTTAAGCAGCGCCATACTCTCAAACAATCTGGAACCTAGGCTCAGAAGATGCTGGTTGTATCTGTTTTTAAATCCCTCATATGGTCTGGTATTCCTTCGTGGTCGCCTTAAAACAATGGGTTTCCTATTAATTTAATCTATATGCAGCCGCCATGGACCTTCGGGGCAAAATTCAATCTCGAAATGAGGGTTTCCGATGAAGAGTCAGTGTAATTAGATATCTTTGCTCGACAGTTTCCTCTCCAGTGGAGCCTGCATATCAAAGTGGTGGAGGACATAGGCTAAGAACTGCTACAAACGAGTCTCGCGTAGTGTAGTTGAAAGTGCAGACCGGCTAGTGGGAATATCAAGCTACAACGCCTGAATGAGGAATCGAAGATTAATCACGAATCATATGCCTAGGAGCTCTTTGGTCTTGGCAAATTCTAATTCCTCCCGCAACATCAAAGCACAAACCGAACCAAAGCCGACTGTAGGTCCCCCGTTTTCGTCGAATGTCAACTGGACACTGTCGAACAAGGACGATTAACGGGAAATGTTTAGGTAGCGATTCGAAATGGTCTATAGATTGTGCTCTGAATAGGCTGGCATTCTCGAAATATCGTGGGATCTCTAGATAATGCCTTGATGGAGCTGACCCCATGGCAACAAAGCGCGTAGGGATACTCGGGCCCCCTTGCTTTAAGAACATGCTGAAAATTGTCATGGCAAATGTAGCCTGCGACATGAGTAGCCAACGTCAACTCGTTTCATCCAATAAAACATAACCACATAAATAGTTCAAATAACTCCTATAGATCGCACTGGATCTCCGATCGAGAACAGTTGACGTGCGTTTTGGCGAAAGCAGTGTAGAACAGCCATTGTTTCTGGTTGCGATGAGCATGCAGCACGAGAATCTCTTCTCATGGACAGGAGGAAGCGCTTCGGGATCATATGCTTCGCATAGCCTTTTCGTCCTAGACTAGTTTAGTCGTAGTTTGCTACTAGAGCCCCGCATCCGTATCTATATTCGCGACCCGGCATCCACCAAGGATATGTGGTCGAATATGCGGGCCCGGGCGTTGATGGTATTTGAATATCATTATACAATCAATAGGTTTGAAAGGCCAACTTGCGAATTGATCCCTTCCTATCTTGGCTAGATCGAGGTCGTGCGAGCTGCATCCAGGTACGAAACATCCTCTGCCGCCGTTCCCCTCCTCCCCTCCGCGCTCTACTGCCGTTGATAACCATGTAGTTACGGAGATCTAACTTGTCTTCGACGAGGAAACCCAATACACCTTAATCTATACACCTCCATTCCAATCTTTCCTCCACTTCTCCATCCAAAACACTAGCTATTCAGAGTTCTATGGTGGCAAATATATGGCCTTTGATTCTACAAACTATCTAGATTCCATGGATACAAGCTCCCTGCAGCCACAAGAAACCCCAGATAGAGGCTTTTGGACGAAGTAAAAGCCATTAATTGTTCGAATACCCTGGTTACCCAAATTATTGTCCCTAAATTGCTGTGGCGCACCAAGCCACTGATTCAGTCATGATGGACGGAATTCGACAGCGACAGCTAGCAGCAAATGCGCATCAAATTCCATCTCTAAAAGCTTCGGACACACACCCCGGTGGAGATATAAAGCACGGCGCTGTAGTTCAGATAATAAGGCTCTTGCTCATTATCAGCTACTTTTGCATATCATGTATCGTGTTTGTCTTCACAGCCCTCTTGTGATTTCTTTATCCTTTTCTGACTAATCCTAGGATTGTTCTCACCCAACTCTTAGGCACTCCGCTGTATTGTATTAATCGAAAGTTGTATTATTCCTATATGTCAATGACGAAGCAATCGTTTGGCATTTTCGTGACAACTTTGACTAAATGGTGGGCGCCGACCGTGATGCGCGTCAGTGGAGACCACTCTGTCGCTGGACAACTACATAAAACAGTGGATGGAGAAATAGAATGTTTATTTCCTGAACGTCTTGTCTTGATCGCCAATCATCAACTATATTCGGACTGGCTATATCTGTGGTGGGCAGCATACACAAATCGGCCCAAAATGCACGGGCACATTTTTATTATTCTAAAAGAATCTTTAAAACGCCTCCCTGTAATAGGATGGGGAATGAGGTTCTACGGATTTATCTTCATGTCGCGGAAATTCGCTGTTGATGCCCCTCGAATATCATATCGTCTCCAAAAATTGAAAGAAATTCGTTCTGAATCCCCATGTGGGAAAAAATATCTAGATCCTATGTGGCTACTTCTCTTTCCAGAGGGGACAAATGCTAGTGATGTAGGAAGAGTACGAAGTGCTGAGTGGGCTAAAAAGAAAGGAATCAAGGATATGGAGCACACACTTCTCCCTCGAAGCACCGGTACTTTCTTCTGCTTAAACGAGCTAAAGGGTACTGTGGATTATCTTTACGATTGTACCTTAGCATATGAGGGTGTAAAGCGAGGTGAATTCGGCCAAGATACGTATACACTTCGTTCCATGTTCCTCCGAGGACAACCTCCGCCCTCGGTGAATATGTATTGGCGACGGTTTGAACTTAGCCAAATACCTCTCCATGATGGAACACAATTCGACTTATGGCTTCATGACCGCTGGCTTGAAAAAGATGCACTCCTGGAGCACTTTACCACCCAAGGGCTTTTCCCACCTAGCCCAGTTCTCTCCTCCGATACTACCCCTGACGGGTTGATCAAGAACGACTACATTGAAACTGAAGTGAGGACTAATCATTGGTGGGAAGTAATTTCAATATTTAATGTTCTCGCTACATTTATTCTCTCGGTTAGCTTACTGGTGAAAGGTTGGAACGTTATGATTAGCGGGGCAGGTGCAATTTAAGTTTTCTATGAAAATTTGGGGCATTCCTGACATTAAAATGTGATTGTGCTCACTGAGTGGTTAGTGTGCTTGTCGCAACATCTATCGCCAACCCTCTGGGAAATTATTGCTGTCTATGAAGTAACCCTTTTGTCTATCTTTCCAATTGTAATCGCAACCCCAGTTAACTTCCTAGGTTCTCACTACCGTGTGCATAGATGCACTATGACCCAGGAGCTTGTAGAGTCTTTGTACGTGAGACCTCGGTTGAGAAGAAATCCAAATCAGTATAGGTTAGTCATCATCCAAAGACTTATAAAATGCACTACTATAGTTTGGGCATTGAGCCAGGGCAATCAAATCTACAATGGTAGTTTATAATCAGCTCTGGCCATTTATCTGAACTCTACTTTCAATATTTATAAATTTATAAATTTACTGGATGATCTAGAATTAGTATGGCACGTGATCATCATCACACGCTTCAAGAAAATTACTGGCTCACTTACCGTTACAAGACTCACCATGCGCCCCTGAGATGGGGCAACAGCGTTTGCTTTCGCCCGGTAGACAAAAAAAGTACTAACCGTTATAAGCATATACACACACAACCCCAGGCACAAATAAGCAACACAAAGCTTCTTTGATAAGTATACTTTAAAATCAACTTGCGTTCTCCAGCTAGAGGATATGCAGCCCCCAGCTCGCGACAAATAACGCGGTATGTCTGAGACTTTGGATGCCACGAAGCGCACTCACAAATATGTCATCAATTCTGGGCGAGAACAGCTCTCTGCTAATACAATAACTCGCTCCGCTTCGAAATTAACGCAATAATTTCCAGCATTGCTGTAACTTAAGGTCCACAGGCTATACTACCCCCTCGAGTCTTTCCGACGCCGATATGGTCTTCGAAAATCCCCCAAGTCCCAGTGGAGACCCAAAAATCTCCCTTTAGCCGCATCAAAACGATCTCGCCTGCGATCTTCCCCGAAGCGCCACGTCTTCAGAACAACACATACCACAGAAACGAGGACTTGACATAGACGACGCGATCTCAGAGGTAAGCTCATAGATCACCAAACTTATGTCAATGGCTAAAGGTCTTGTGAACCTAGCCGGCCCATATCTGGAGGAAATGGAGGACATCTGCCCAGGAACAGGAGCTGAGTTTCTTGCCCTAAGTTTCGATGGACTATCCCAAGCATTCCATTGGGAAAACATTTACAAAAGCTCCATAACTTCAGCGGGTGCTAATGATAATAAAATCAATCAGAACAGAAATACTTTGGCCGCTAATGCCACAACTGGGAACTTAAGCGGGACAAATGTTGATCTCCGCCGGCCGCCGAGAAGATTCTCTCCGCTGCAGCATCAAAGCAGAGAAGATAAGCGTGTGATGACACGTCTTGACAGTCAATGTGAAGCTTTCACAGTGGAGCCGCTCTACTCCGACAGAAATTTCAACAGCTCATTCGGGACCCATCGTTAGTGGTAGATGCATAGTAAGTATCCTCAGGAATCGCAATACTAGCACCGACTCCGGCTAAAGCGGGCAGTATTCTCGAGCGCAAAGATACCATTGCCGCACGATTCGATGATGGCTCGGTAGAAATATAGGAAATTTGGACGACTTTTGATGTTGGGTCTGTCCCAAAGAATGTTACCACCCTGGAGTTCTAAGGATCATTTGATAGATGTTATTTACGAACTATCTAGATCTAGGTGCAAGAGAGAATCTTAAACTGGAGTGAAAATTAACTGGGGGTAACCCACTACATGAATAATCTGGCTATATGTCAAGGTTTCGAGTTATGAAAGTGAAATGATTGATATGAAGAATAAGATGTGGATTATTCTTCTTGCCAAGGTGCCTAGCTTCTCGGCTTCTCTGTCCGAGCTTTGCCCTATCACCATTCAGCCATCCTAATATTCAATCATTAGGATGTAGGATTTTTGGGTCTCCCATCATTCTTCAGCCTTGTCGAATCTTTTGAGCTGGCTCGAAAGCTTTAATGATTGAGACTGGAGGTATCTGGAAGAATAGCTCGCACAGGAGCTTTCAATTGAAGTAAAATAAAAGATGTAATTGTCTGTCTATCTTCCTTCCTCTTTCTCTCAGCTTATATATCTACATATATCTACTACCTGAAATATGACGATAATGTCTAGTAATAGCTTCCTTACATCACAAGACACAATCTAAAAATGTTGTCGACAAGATATAATCTTAAAACAACTTAATACCAGCCCACCACGTCTGTTACACGGAAGCCGAGTATTTTGTAGCTGAAAATTACCCAAATCGCCAAGGTTTTCCTGGGGCAATCACAAATTATGTCAGGTACCAGTTTGGCATGTTATTCTGACATTAATGTTACGAAAATGTTAGAAGAATGGACTTTACATGAACCACGAAACAATAAGTCAGTAACACAGATTTCATCGGGTTCTGATCCTGGTCTGACAAGCCCTGTCTCATATTAATCCTCCAATATTCAAATGCCTTAGGCTTGTACCAGAGTTGTGCTAGGCTCTGGCCTATGACAGGAGGCGGCTATTTACTCAGTCGACGACATTCTCTAGTCAGAACCTGCTACATCGGCCAAAAAGAATGCAATGCCAATCCGTCAACTACCATGGACCAAAAGTTCAGCTGAATTTGCTAGCCCAGCTGGTTATATACGTATACACGTCACAGAAGACAAAGTGTAAATTTTCCCATCACGAATGCAGCTATTCAGATAAGCCACGGGTGTAAAATGTGCTCGACACTGAAGCCAACTTGTGACCTGTAGGAAAGCTTCGGCTTTCGCTCCACCAGGACCTGTGACCGCAAGTACAAATGCGGGTCTTACGAGAAAGACGCTCACAAAGGCTCTTGCGCCCACCAACTATAATATTTAAACTGTCAGGGTCCCCGCAGCTCCGCTGTCGTTTTTCTCCTAGCCCGAACATGACGGGATCATGGCGTTTTCATCCGCCCTACTGGGGCACAACTGTATTATATTCGCGCAACGAGCCGTAAGGAGCTTGCTAAATCTCTTAACCGTCCCCAAGAATCAGTAGCCCCAATCCCTGAGGGCGTAGCCGAACATCCATCTCCATCCCATTAAGTATGGTAAGGAGGCAAAAATCCGAAAAAAAACGAAGAATATGCATTATGCAAGCAAGCGTGGGAAGAAGTGCAAACTCACATATTTTTGCCCTTCAACTCGCGCAGAATAACGATATCGACATAATTCTAGTCCAGGAGCCTTGGATTCTCAGAGATCTTTCAGCGAGGCGATCAATATCACACCCTAACTTCATAACCTTCTCCTCCCTCTCTGTATGACATAAACATCATAGAGCCTTAACATACGTCTATAAAGCACAGGGGCTGTACAAATTACCATTTCATGCTGGCGTGGTCGGAAAATTGCCGTCTGGAATGTTTACAACGCCCCGGTGAACTGAATAGGAGCTGGCGAGGGGTTAAAATTGCTTTAAGAATCTCCAGACTCTCCCGAATTTGTGGGCGACGATATAAGCTCAAGAAATCCTGTCTGGGACCTACACTTTACCACTATATCCACTAAGGCAGCCTCCTTGCTTGAGTGGGCAAAAGAGAAAGACCTATGTATCTTCTATTAACGTTTCTGTTGGAATAGTAGTCATGTGCACTCTAATAATAGATGGAATATGTATTAACCTATTGTGTCAGTAGTACAACTTATGTAATATTCTCTTGGCATTCTTACATGACACTAAGAGGATTAGAATAGATAGATACAGTCAGACCCCTGTTAAGACGATCATGGTCAAGCCAATATTGCTGTTTCTACGATATATTTTCCGGAATGGACTTCGTTCCCATACATTTACCGATTACTCGATTATCGTTATTCAACCTCTGAATATCGTCTTAACCAGGGTTTTTTTGTTAGATTGGTGCTAATTATGCCGCCAAATAAGGGAATTTCTGTAGAGCAACGACGTAGCAATTAGTCAGTATTGTATAGAGCTACCCTGTATGGAATGCACGTGCCAGGTGTAAATCCTGATCTCATTGAGACTGAGATTTTTTCGCAATTCAACTTAAACAACGCGACGAAACGGACAATAACGAAGTGTCGTTTTAAAAAGTAATTTCAAGGAATAACTAGTCACAGAGGATACCGCTGGAAGTAGAGTTTTCCTACTCTCAAAAAAAATAAAAAATATATATACAAGATGTTGGAATTACTACGAGGTATTTTCACGATCGATCGTAATGATTCAGTAAAGAGTTGTACGATTCTGTGTTGGTCTAAATTCTCATAATGTGTTGTCTTCTACACTATACAGGATTCACAGCTATACTGTTTTTGTTTTTTTATTTAACGTCGTGCCAGCTCACAACACACAACCTATTTTTTGAAATTCGAATTTTCGAATCTTCACCCTTTCCCCCTTTCCCCCTCTCCCTCCCTTTCGCGCTCGTCGCATTCTATCAAAAAATTATCATCGAGTCACTGGCAATTTCACCATGCCACCTGTTCGAAAAAAGCGTCCCAACGCCAAGTTGGACAACACGAGAGTCCACCCGAGGGCTCTCCAACAATTACCTGGCCTTGTCCAGTCTCAGAAATGCGCGGAGATGAGCAAGGTCTCTACTAAAGGGAAGGAAAAAGCCATCTCCGCGGTCACTGAACCCGATACTGACATGATCGGATCAGTCGAAATTATTGAGGAAATCACTCAACCACCCTCCGTCCCCCATGGGATTGGAGAATCGTCAAAATCTTCTCCGACCGCATCAAAAGCGTCGGAAAACGCTGCACCCATAGCAGCGTCAAAATCAACGTCGCAGCCAAAAGCTGCCACAAAAACAGAGTGTCCCCTCGAGCTCCGACCAATAGTCGAAGCCGAAAAACGACGCGCCGCCGAAATAGCGGCAAATCTGGCCCTCTGCTCCGCCGCCATCTCTGGCGTCGAAGCCACCCTCCTCCCTTTGACCAACGGGTCAAACAGACAATTCGTAGACTCCATGAGAGTCTACCTACACGCCGCCGTTGCGCAATACATGGCCACGGGCCCGGCCACTACGCCACCCGTTCTCCCTCCTCGCCCGACGAACCCTCTCTCAAGGGCTCCCGAAGCCAGGAGTAACACAACTCCCGCCATCCCAGTTCTGCCTGTCAAAAGCACCTGGGCCACGGTGGCCAGACACGGACTGCAACAAAAAGCAATCCCAAATGTGAAGGCTGTGCCGCGACCTGCGGCCAAAGCCCAACAAAAAGAAAACCCCAATGCGAAAGTCGATAAGCGACTGTTCCTTCGCCTTAAAAAGGACCACCCGTGGCGAAAACTGTCCCCAAGCAGCGTGAGAACTAAGTTAGAGTATACATTCAGCTACTTTAACTAAGAAATAACCTCACTCCACCGAGTGAGGACGGGCTTTACTATGCTAGCAAAGAACGAAAAAACACGACAAGAGACTTTAGATGGCTCTTCGAAGCTGGCGAGTCATAACGTCAAACTCGAGGCATCTTCGGATCTTGTCGCCTTACAGATACCGAACGTACCTGTAAGTATATTTACAGTACGCGGCCCCAGGGCGGTCAATGCTGAGTGAGTCTCTATCCAAATCACCGTTACGACCGGCGTACAGCCAATCCAGGTCCGACCTCATGGGACGTGTCGACCTGGGGCGCCGCATCTAAACTAGCATTCTCTTTTCGACCGGGACTCCGCCCCTCGTGCGGGCTGCCGCCTCTTCGACGAGTCTGGTATGGCTACCATTCACAAGCCTCGTCGACAAATTGAACAGTGTAAACGCTGTTTGGGCTTCCACGCCACCCGTGGTTGCTCCCACGCTCCAGCTTGCTGGAACTGTGGATCAAATATGCACTCGGAAGCCGAGTGCAAGGCCCTCATAAAGTGTCGTAACTGTGGGGAACCCCACCGATCGGATTCTCGGGCCTGCCAAGTCAGACCCAGAAAGTCGGGACCGGTGACCAAAGAGCAGCTCATGTGGATTCGCCACCTCGAGCAAGGGGAATTCGCGAAGGTGGCTCGAGGTCGAGCAGCAGCCAAAAGGGCCGAGGATGCGATCATCGCCGCGGCGAAGGATATCTCTATGGCCGAGGTAACAGGTTTCGGAGTGCTGGGATCTGAAGAAGAAGTTTGAGGACACAGCAACCTCGACGATGTCCCTTTTGGGACATCCATTAACAATTAGCAGGATACCGGCTGGATCAAAGATGCCTGCTAACTCATCTACTGCTCTCAGCCGAGATTAAATAAATTTGTCATTTGGAAGGTGTTACTGACGAGGGAATGTGTGAGGAGCACATTGACTGGGTCCATTATGGAGGAATCTTCTGGTTTTTTCGGAGTTGTTTTGATTTTCTTGATTTTTTGTTTCAGTTTAATCAGCTGCATTTTTGGTAGCAATTCACGAGGCTGGAACGATTTAGGCTGTAGGAAATATTACAGGGAGCCCTGCCGGCTCCATCTGTCCTTAACCCAATGTGGAAGATATAGCTTTAGTTTAGGACAAAATAAACAAAACAAAACAAAAATCACACACAATTTTTTGGAATTCGAATATTCGAATCTTCCCTTTTTCCCCCTCTCGCGCTCGTCACATTCATCAATAAATTGTGATCGAGTCGCTGGTGTTTTCATCATGCCACCTGTTCGAAAAAAGCTGTCCAACGCAATGTTGGACAACGCGAGAGTCCGCCCGAGGGCTCCCGCAAAAACACCAGGCCTCGCGCAAAAACTTTCAAGCATGTCTGTGAGTGAGGCCCTCATCGAAGGGAAGTCTCCAAACCTTCCCGACGAAGAGATGACTGATTCTGAGCCAGTCAGGCGAGCAAAAATTGGTCCCCAGGCCAAAATTCCCATCGAGCTTGCCTCAGGCGAGCACCCCAAGTGTTACGGTTTGACCGTGGTTCGGCTTAGGTGGAGACCTAAGCGGAGTTGGGGGCGTATTAGGGAGAGTGTTACATATTATCTTGTATCAAGCGACTAAGTTTCACTTGGCCACATTACATTGGAGTCAGGAAGGAATGTGAGACGGCGAAGTAGAATTGCCAAGTGAGAGAGTCAGCTAGATGGCAAAGATGACGACGGGCAGTGGCGGAGCAATATGTCATTCTCACCAACAGAGTACGTACTGGATGAGCTAGAAGGATTTACAAATAGTCATTGCCCGTAGTTGTGGTACTTCTCTCTTCATATAGTTTAATCTTTCTAAAAGTACACTACAACCAGCTTGGTTTCGTTACACCAAGGAAAGGAAAGGAAGTCGTCCGAGAGAAGACGACAGAACACGCAGAAACGTTTGCAAGAAAATTCGCTGTGCCAGCTCCCAAAGGCACAGCTTCGACATCAGCAATGGAGTTTCCTCCAGAGTTGCAATCAGTGATGGAGGCCGAAAAACGTCGCACGACGCAAATAAAAGCACGTCTATCAATCTGTTCCACTGCAATAAGCAGTGTTGAAGCAGCAATTTCGCCTCTCTCGATTGGTGATGAAAATGAGTTTGTAGACGGTTTCAAAGTCTACCTTCGAGCGGCCATTGGCCAGTTCATACAATCAGGCCCAGGGAGCACTCCACCGGCTCTCCCTGTGCGTCCCAGCAACCCTCCTCCGCCGAGGGCTCATGAAATTAGGGTTCCTAACCCTACGAAAACCCAGGCTCCGGCCCCAAAGACAGCTTGGGAGAATGTAGCCCGAGCAGGCCTTGGCCACAGCACTGGGCCATCAACGACAAAGGCAGCCAATTCAAAGACAGCGGTCGACACACGACTGTTTCTACGCCTCGCATACAACCACCCCCACCGACTCCTTTTACCAGCTGGCTTAAGATCAGCTGTCTCAGAGGCTCTCGGTACCGCTGGCAACAATTTCACGTTGGTTTAGCGGGTAAATACCGGCTTTGCAATAACCGCAAAGGATGAACTCGCTCGAAAAGAGCTCCTAGATTCCTCCATATCACGGAGCGAATGTGGAATCAAACTGGAAACAGCATCAAATCTGGTTGCCATGCAAATTGCCACCGTCCCGGAGACAATTCGAACTCTCGATGGCCCCATCGCCGTGACGGCAAAGATGGTTGCCGATGAAGTCACACGAGTGACCAAATCAGTTCCTTTTCTTTTTCGTCCTCACTGGACCAGCAAACCCGGTGCGCCATGCTAGAACTGGCAAGCGCTCTTCCCTCGCGAATCTACGCCCCGACCTGGATTTCGCCTCTTCCATGACTCCGGAGCCGCAAAGCTCTTCCAACCTCGTCGAAACATAGTTCAGTGCAAACGATGTCTTGGCTTCCATGTCTCTCGCGGTTGCTCCCGCGCTCCGGCTTGCTGGAACTGCGGATCAAAAATGCACTCGGAAACGGAGTGCAAAGCCCCCACACGGTGCCGAAACTGTGGTGGACCTCATCGATCGGAGTCGCGGTTCTGCAAAGCCAGACCCAGCAAGTTCGACCCGGTGAAAAAAGAGCAGCTTGCGTTAATTCGCAAAGCCGAGCACAAAAATCACGCCGATTATACTCGAATCAAAGCTGCAGCCGAAATAGCCATTCAGGCGATTCACGGCTCAAAGAATGACGTCTACATGTCGGACGCATCGGGTTTTGGGATTCTGGGATCCGAAGAGGAAGTTTAAGGTTACGGCCAGCCTTAGTGACGTCGTCGAGGCTTCAACACGTTAACAGTAGGACACCGGCTGGAGAAAGGGTGCCTACGAGCTCATCTTCTGCTCTCAGCGAAGATCAGAAATTGTTACTTGGAAGATGTGATAGGTAAGGGAACGGGCGAAAAGCGCGGGATCCGGATCTAATTGGGACTTCTGAACTTGATTTATGTTTTCGATTTTTGTTTTGCTGTTAACACCACTATTTATGTGGAAGTTCACGCGGTTGGAATGAGTTGGGCCTGTATTCAGTGATCCTCACCGGCTCCACCTATCCTTGACCCATTGTGGAAAAAATAGCATTAGCTTAGGACAAAAATCATAAAACAAAACAAAACATCCGTAAGGTCTCGTGTTGGCCAACTCAGTCTATATAAACTATCCGACGTGCCGACGCTTTTAACTAAGCCCGACATGTAATAAATGAGCCAAGGTAAGCCTGCCATGCACCCCGAACTATCAATTGAAGTCAAAATCACTCTCCAGCTGAGAAGATAGTTATCTATATTTACAGGAAATTTATCCATCACCTAGTCCAATAGTCTTTCAATCTGAGCTCTAGCAAAAATTGGCCAAATATTTATAGTTTGGAGTACTAGTTAGTGTTGATATTGCATACTTCAAAAAAGCATGTTTCATGAAGCCATTTACTAAACGCTATGGCACCTTCAGTAGAACCTAGAATCCAGAGAATTCTTGTGAAATGTCTTTGCTTGTATGGCCAGCGAAGCGCCACGATACTAGATGTGAGTTGTTTCTATTTAGTCAAGTTGAAAGTGCCTATCTTGGTAATTATAACTATGATCACTTGACATTTCGCCTCCCATGGAATATTGGCTAGCAAGCTTCTGTCCCTCAAACCGAACTAGAAAGACTGAAATACTCTGGGCGGTGGGATTGGTGCCATCGACTTCATATTGTGTGATATGTTGATTCCAAATTCGACACCGTTCATGCTCAGTATGCTTAGTTGACTAACAGTCATATTTTCTGCAGATATGGCACTTCTTTTTCCACGGGTAATGTTTCTTCTGGAGCTCAGATCTGTCGCCGTCATTGCTCTGATCCTTTCTTCGTGAGTAAGAGTTATTGTGATGTCTCTCAAGATAGTACTGCTTCGAAAACGGTGCTAGGGACCTGTCCACAACAAACTGTGATGCAAGTATGTGATTTATGATTGATGATCGTAGATTTGCTATCAGTTCTTCTAGGTTATCTGTCGCCTTATTGATAGCCGGTGCAAGTTCAATGGTGTGTCTTCAGGTGCGCATTAGCTGGTCACAGAGTTTGTCATCACCTTCACATGAAGTTCCCATTGCCCTCTGGCAGATACTTAGCTTATCGACCAGTATATTGAGGACGCTCCTCAGACCCTTATCAGGATTCTCGTTCATTCGAGTGTAGTACAATAATGCTCGGTCCTTATGCATTTGATCAAAGAATATATGCAGCTGCGAGAGACGGATCTCGAGCGATTCAAGTGCTATTAGGAACTGATGTACCTTACCATCGAACACGTCATATATAACACCATAGGAATTGCGTTTCTTGGTCCAATGTTTAGGAAAGTTGATGACTGCTAATGGTTCAAGTTTTTAGTTTGGCTCGCTGTGAGGAGGGAGATCAGTACAAGGGCTATGCCGGAAATCTTGGAATACTGGTGCTTGCTCATAACGAGGCACAGAAGGATAAACTGAGCTAGTACAGGATCGGAAAAGTCTTGGCTGCGGCTCAGATTATCGTCATTCACGAGCTGGTGATTAGTTTGGCTTACGCCGTTCATTCTCTCCATTATGATACTCTGGAGTGAGGTATGAGGCTCTAAGGATGCAGCCTATCGTGTTTAGTAGCGTGCACTGTATGTTGACGTCAACATTTCAACAAAATTCGTTATCTGCGATGGCGGTGCGGTTGCCGTTGGCGGTGGTTGCGTAGCTTGAGAACTTGTGCTTGAGAGTTGTTGTAACTTCTTGTTTTAGAAGCGTGATCTTTGCAGCAGATCAACTGTCAAGAGGTCATTGTCAATCCATTTAGTTAGCTCTTCATATTGAAGGACGGAGGCCAGTTGGCATGCAATGTCACCTCTGATAATGCAAGTATTGATGCCTCCTTTTCGTAGCGGTAATCTGAAGGTATGTTTCACATCTCGCTGAATCTTGTCGAACATTTCAGTGCTCCAGCCGTCGAAATCCTCACAAAAATCACCCAAAAGCTCATCATCGAAAATTTTGGATGTCTGGTAACTGATAGCACACTCTACTGCGAACGTTGTGAGCTAATTTGCAGTTGTGCTTTGTGGTTCTGTGATTAGCTGGCCCCAGTACTGAGCGTTTATTGCTCGAATCAGAATTTGGGGCCGTAATCCAAGCTCTTCTAGCACATGAAGTAGTGTCTCCCTCAGTATCATACCGTCTTAATCATCTTGTATACTTCCTCGAGTTTTCTGGAACTCGTCGATGTTCTTAGGTTTTTCAGACAAGGATTCTGCTTCTAGCTGTGGAATTATTGGAACACCTGGTTGTGACATATTGTGTGAAGGTTTCAAAATGTAACTTAAGTTGCTGGTATCGCTGTGATATGGAGGGAAAATTGAATTTCATGGGGGTTTTGAAGTACAGTGATCTCGGCTACATTCTAAATAGAGATCGAGGTAGCACTTAGTTGTTCTGCGTGGATGACGCTCTTTGTAGGTGATTGAATTATCTTCTTCTGAATACTGGAGTCTCTATCTTCTAATAAAGTGTGTTAGCACAGCTCTTCAATGCTTAATAGCTCCAAGCTTGAGTAGAGAAGCAAAGCCGAGTGTCTCTTCGTTGTTAAGCCTATCTGTCTGTGACTGTGTTGATTACAATCACTGATCAGTGTTGGAATTACTACGGGGTGATTTCACGATCGATCGTAATGGTTTAGTAAAGAGAAGACATTATGAACATTTAGAATAACCTAGAATCGTACCACTCTTTACTGAATCATTACGATCGATCGTGAAACTACCCCGTAGTAATTCCAACACTTCTTGTATTACTTGCCACGTTCATGACTACTCATACATTGACCAGCCTCTCAATTATCTAGCATAAACAAGTGAATCGTGTCTTTCACTTAGATTTAGTAATTAGTTTAAACAGCGCTCTGACACTAATTGGGTTTAATCAGCAACTCTCCAGTATAGTTTTCGGACTCTTCAATCTCCCAACTCGCTTCACTAGGTGATATTAAACATAAGTCTAACAGCTTAAGCTTTTCTACAAAACTTCCATTACAACAGTAGTATCCTCAACTAGACTTGGATTGGAATACTCTCTCAAAGCAATATAGAGTCAAAAAGTATTCGATTTTTTGCTAGGAGGTACTTTTCATATTTTAGTCGTTAAATCTATCTGCAGAGATTTCATCAGCGTCTAGGTTTTAAACAAAAACACTTTGCCAAAAGTATGAAATTCCAATCTCTTAAATGATCTACCGGTTACTATTGTTTCAAAAGATTTATCTAGCTCTCCAATTGTCTTCCATAAAATAGTTCCACAGAAGCCTAAATAAAGATACATCTTCAACATCATCTATTAGTCCACCGCTATGAGTTCACATAATAGAAGAAAAATGTTGCAATATCGAGGAGATCAGGGAAAATATAGCGAGGTTGATCCATTGTGGTGAGCTAAGATTCCTAATAGCAAAAACAACCCAAACGGTATGATAAGCGCTCTATCTCAAATCTATCGAAATAAAGATATGTATGAAGATTGTTCGAATTGGGTCCTGCTCAACAATGCCTTGTCGCCGGATCAATTGGTGTTGGTATACAGCAGAGCAAGCCCAGAATAAATCAGTTAGATAATGAAAACTAGATAAAGAAGATTACCTACTTCTCGCTGTATAAATAGGGAATTGTAATTGTCGGCGCCGATCATAACAATCTATGTTGCTAAGCAACCATATCCAGACCGCAACATTGGTAGCCCCCATAGCTGGCTAGGCCCTATATTCCATCCCTACCGTACTGGCGCAGACAGTACAAACACAAGGGATTAATCCCGTAACATGCCTAGCCTAATAATGCTAGGTTGCAGGCTACTATTACAACTATTAATGGGGTCGTAATCAGGGCTGTGAGTGGTTTCGGTGCATTGTGGGTTATTGGATTGATACTTGAACATGTCGCATTGTCAGCAGGCGCGTAACTCAAGTGGCAATAAGCACGATAAAACTCAACACAAATACTATGATACGAATCAAGTTTTAAATACTAGGTCCTGTATGGTTAGAGTTGATGGAAAATAGAGGATTTACCTGTATATAGATAAAGACGGTGTAGCTCTCTGATGGTCTGGACAAGTCTTCCACTAAGCAATGTTAGAATCAATGCTAGTCTCTCATTAGGCAATCTAAAAATCTATTTCCGTGCCTGTGATAATAGACCAATATACAAAATTGACATAAAGTTTAAAGTCTATAAAAGATGCAAAGATAATGGATTCGAAGGCTCGGGCTTGAAGTGATCAAAGCTGAAGAAACTATCCTCTGGCATATTTATAATATATTGTATAGGCAGTTAGACTAGTCTATATTCAACACACGAGTGCAATTTGATCTCTCCTGACCACTTGGGCCGGTAAAGATTAATAACCTATATGATAATCGACTTTATCTAGTTTAAAATCACTAGTGATCGACTGCGAGGCGGCATGGAGAGCCCCAATTGCAAAAGTGGTTAAGTTGTAAATAGAATCAATTCAGCCGTGGTTTTTTAGACAAGCATAGTAGTGAGGTTACCATAGATATGTAAATTTAGAAATGGCTTCATCTCAACTCAGCCTGACAGCAGTGAAGTAGTTGAGCCTTTTTTCAGTTTATTTACTACCAAAATTAGTTGTAAAGTTTTATGGCTGGAACATCATGATGTCTTGTTCAGAGATTATTTCACGACGTTAACTTGATCGCAGCGAGATTTTTGTAGCGAGAAAGATGGGCATACCCAAGTGCCACACGAGCATCGCTGACCCTGCCATGAGTAACGTCCAACCTGGGCTGAACATTTTTGATTCGGGCACTCTAATCGTCCCATAAGTAGCCCTTGGTCAAGGAAGGGCTTCATCCAAGAAATTGGGTTGATAAAATGCGTAGTACAAGTAGATGGCAATCCTTTCGGATAAGAGGAATCAAAAGTTGAGTTGGATACCGCTTCCTCTTTCAAATTTTCGAGTTTAGATTTAGGAGTATGCTGAATAAAATATGCAGATGTTGCTAATATTCTCCTGTGGTGAAAGGATCTTAGTCTCCTTTCAGTTCTGTCAGGAGCAGGAGACTTGCCGACATTTTCTACATCTGAGCTCAATAAAGTCTTTGGAATTTCGATCATCATCCTCGTTTGACTCTTCATCTCTGAATCTTACTACTTCAGGTGGTACTCCAGCAGCAAGTGCCGAACTACAGTCTTGTTCAAAGAGCCAACGCTGATATTTTGGATGCATATTAATATCAGGGGTACACTGCATTTCTCTGTAAAGTTCAAGTTGAGCCATAAATCCACTATTGGGTTCAGCTAGAGGGTAACTATCTCGTAGCACAGACAGCGCCTCTTGAACTGAAAGCTGAGGAGATTTGCGTAAGAGATATGCCAGAATGATAGTCACAGAACGTGATCTGCCCATGGCACTAGAATTAAAATGAGTAGCCATCTTACGTGGGGAAAGGCCGTGAGATTTTCAATCATTTGGGAAATTTCAACTAAATTCAGATTCCACATACCAGTGAACGAAAACCTTTCCTCTTTCTTTGAGCGCGCTCTCTATCCAATTGCCACTTTTTTCAAAGCTTTCCAAAATGTTTTCATTTTCTAAATCATCTACTTCTATAGTGAGGTGCTTAAACCCCTCGCAATCTTTAATTGTCCTCGAATCAGACTTAAAAACAGAGACTATGTGCGTTATACCAGCTTTCCGGAGTTCTGAAGTGCGAGAAAGTGCGCAAACTCTAACAATGATTAGAACTATATTTGTTGTTTAATTGAGAGCTGTAGCACCCTCCAACGAAAATATCGTCGTTTCCAGGAATCCGAGTGAATGACATAGCTTTTTGGTTTTTATTTCGAAAAGCTAGAGATGAGTAGATTTTTTTTTAAATAATTCTTGCGAAAGTTTATCTAATTTGAAATCGAGAGTAATGCCTTATATCATGGGTATTGTATTCTGTGTTGAGTATCACGGATGAGGCTCGTCGGAAAGGAGGCACAAGTAGATCAGAGTTACGTTGGGACGAAGTACCGGTGAAAATATACTAATAAGACGTTACACGAATTATTTTACTGTGCAACTAACCACTTACTTATACTAAATACCTGCCCCAGCATCAATAACAAAACCAAGCAGAATACTTGTGCGTCATGTGACTAATATGTCTGACCATTAACGAGAGCTATTGGTACCATGAGATTAACGTGCTCTTCTTTTTTTGCATCAGATTTTAATTGCGTATGCAGCTATCTAGCTATGACACAATATCAAAGAGATGTACAGAATAGATTATTCAACATAAAGGAAGAGCACTTATGCCTCGGATTTCGTTTGCAAGTACCACTACGAAGTTATGGTAGCTTTTTCTTCACCCCAAGTCAACCCTCATCCGTGAATACCCATCCAGGGGAACGTCTCAAAAACCCTGAGTTATCCAGACATGCTTCCATCATCAAATGACTTTTCTCCGCGCGAAATGTGACCTGAGATGTCTCCTTTCCAAGTGAAGTAGGTACCCAGGCTACTCAAACTATACCAGAGAACACCGCCAGGAGGCGGATCACAACACCTTCCATCGTCGGCTTGTTTTTATAGTGTCAGCTGCACTCTCGCAAACGAAGTCTTGGCGCGCACAAAGCTCAATTTGTAAAACTCTTGCCAAAATTAGAAATATCACACCCGTTAAAACTGTATCCATCATCTGTGCCATCTTGTAAACCTTTCCTGATCCCTCTCACATCCATCCCAAGGAATTGTCTTCCAGATTTGTGCGCCACGCTTTTCTTCCTCTGTCGGGTGTAAATATCGGCGTGGGCGTGTATCTGGCGACCAGCTAAGGCCAGAGAAAGTCGAAAAGAGGTGTGGTCATTGGAATGAGGATGTACTAGGTCGTACTTGTAAACTTGATGAGGCTTAGGTAGGAATCGATTTCGTTGGGAGTGAAAGATTGATATGGTGGAGTATTTTGAATCATTGCCTCGTGGGCCAACTTGTACGGTATTGCGAAGTTTGACTGAACTCGGCTCTCGGAGAATATTTCACTCCCAGGTTCGTAGAGGACACCGCGTACACCTGTGCTAGCGTTGTTTACTGCTGTTAATAGGAGATTCCGCACGGGCTATCCATTGGGATTAAAAGGAGTCTGGTACCTGTGTTTAGTAGAGTAGTCGAATTGACATCCTTTTATCCTTCATTATTGCATAAGCTTCCCTCTACCAATAAGTCCACGAACTAAGTAGTGGGTTATATATTTCAATACCCAATCTAATTGTACTTTCCGGCCAGTCCCAGCATCTCCTCATCTCATCCACAGTTTGTTTTCCTCATTAGAGACCTCGTCAAATTACCCACCAAAGCCTCAGCCTTTTTCGATTGCGAGTACGTGTTGTGATACTGAGTGTGTCATGTAGAGATATGATTCATTCATGAGTTGGTATTGTTCAAATTATCATCACTATATCACAACGTCATGTATAGATATAATTCATCGTTTTTACGACGTTAAATAATAATAAATAAAAAACCTGACAAGGGCTCAAAGCAGTCTAGCGGTGCAAATACGAAGTGAGCACATGGGACTCAACTCGTATTTATATAGAAGAAAATTACCCGTAGTCTACAGTCCAAGCTGTCCATGTAGCTATCAATCCTAGAACCCCAAGCACATGATCATGTCCTGCCCTCGATGGTCAAATGGAAGAGGAGAGATCTGGAGAAAAGCGAAAGATCGGTCCTACGAAGCTATGCTAAACAATCCTGGAAATATCAAAAGGATAACACAGTGGATCCTAAATCATGGTTGGATAGAGCAATTCCAGATGACAAAGGCGGTCGAAATGCTGCTGAGGGAAAGGAAAAGGTCATGCCTTTCTTGAGGTCGATAAAGCTGATGTAATTGGGTTATATGGAGGGCACTATAGTGTAACTGCGCTTCCTAAAGGATACATTATAAAAAACATAGAAATTAAACGGGAAGATTTGGGAGGTTTACACCAAAAGATTTCCTCCCATGTAAATTAGAAAGTATGATAGACACCTGCATGAGCCCATAGGGCGCCAAATCATGATAATGAAATCAAAATCAAATAACAAAAAAATAATAAAATTCATCGTTTGTACTCATTGTATCGACCATGACTATGTCTCAGTGATAGGAGAAACGCCATTGATTAGTTATAAGAAACTTAGTCAAAATCCTAAGCACATAACTTACTATAGGAGAACTTTACTGGGTAAGTAAATATTCTGATGAATCTAGATCGGAGGACCATAATCTGGTTGCTTGGCTCGAGGTATATGAGCCGGAGCATATCATGTATAATAAATGATATAGAAATCTCTCTCAATCACAATCATCATCTTAATTCATGTCACCATCAATAGCTACAAAGGACAGTTTGACCATTTCCTCATAGAGTGTAACCAAAGGTGAGTATGGAAAACATTATCACAAAGAGTAGTTCCAATTTTCCTAAGAAGCCAAAGAAGATGAATTGGGAAATGACGATGGTCAGGCTAGGGTGTATTAGGACGTGTATTCTCTCTTCATGACAATGACATCTTTCACTCAACGCAGATAGACTCTTGTAAACGTATCTCAACCACGACTTTCCCATAATATTCCTGTGAATCCTAACATTCGCAAATATAATTCCGATTATCCTATAACTTCAATAATATGAAGTTAAGATTTGGAAGTGCTTCAGTAATTGGGGAGTTGAGTTGAGCTGAGAAAGATTTTCCAGGAAATTCGAGATATTGAAAGGTGGCAGTTGTTTTTAGACAACATCAGGCAGGTTTTATCCTGTATGCAGTTCATATTTGGGGTGTAAATGATTGAATTCATCGAGTTGTGCAGTCGTGAAAAGTGTGCAGGTCGTATTTTAAACCAAAAACTCATCAACACTACTCTTACCGATCGCCATCTCGACGGAAACTCCCGAATTGACCCTTTGTCATGGCTGAATCTCAACTCTGGGAGAATATTTTGTTCCCAGGCTCGAAGTGAGCGGCAGTGATAAGTGTTCAGTCTTCGTACTCCGGTAAATCATCTAGGCTGGTCTCCCAAGTAGATTCTGGATAGCTTTGGCATATATCTCACTTGAGACAGGAAATCCCTAGGACAAATCCAGCAAAAAGAACCACCACACTTCTTACGCCGCTGGTATGCATGCACGACCAAGGTATGCTCGGCTTATTAAAGGTTCCGAAACGTCGTTTTGGTCGGTACTCAGGGAGAAGGGTCTGTAGTTTGTTCAAGTAAACATAACTCAAAGTGTTATTTGAAAATGTAATCGAGAGTACGAGCGTCTAGAATCAAAAGAGCCATCATGGTTATGATTATGATCTATGCGGAATTCATACTGCGGAGTGATGAGGAGTGGATGATGTTATATTTATTGGATGACAGTGTATAAACTTATACAATTATACGCTGTAGGTATTTGGACTGAAATTACTAGGCTAAACCTGTATCTATTTATTGTGGGTACATCTATGAAACTATATACATGCTCGCCTAACCAGTACATAGGTGATATATACCGTGGCCTTGAGCCACACGCGATGCACTAGCATCGACTATTTGATTGTCTCATATCATCACAATCATACATGTTTGTAAATTGAGTCATATTTTCTGTACTTTTCTTTGATATTGTGTCACAGCTAGATATCTGCATACACAATTAAAATCTGATGCAAGAAAATTATCACACATATACACACAGCACTGACTGTGTGTCATAGCTGGCTAAACATACATTAAATGTTCTAAAAAAAGATACAATAATTGTATGTTAAACTAAGATCTAAGTCGTTGCCATTACAAAAATTTCGTACTTTGTTCTATCCATAATTACCGTAGTTATTGTCCGGGAAAGAAAACTGAATACCAGTCATTGGTGTCCCCTACGAACTCCTAACTCTCACCGTAGTCTGTAGAGCCGAGTTCGAGTAACAAAATCCTCACTTCGATGAGTATTCTCAATCGCTTTTGCGGTCTTTATCATCTTCATCTCTCAACACAAACCCCTGTCACCATCATCATGGAGCTAACCACCGTCAAATTTGATGAATGGTCGAAGCCATTCTCATCACCGAACCTTAATAATGAAGGTGAATTCATCCGATGACTTTCCAGACTATATTAAGCACCCGATACAGCGATGGTGGATCGGAGAAAGATGGCCTCTAATGTTACAAAGAATGGAGATTAAGATAGATGTGCGCATCTCACGTGGTCCCGATGTCTAGGTCTCGCCTGGCTGGGGCTGCAGATCTTTTGAGTCTTTTTCTCGCGCATGCAGTTTTCATTGCTAACATTTTGCTAATATTACAAAGTTCAGTAGGAAAGGTAGTTGAATTCTACTGGTGATGACTAGGCCAAATTATCATCCGCGATAGACAATAAATTAGAGATTTCATTCCTTAATAAAAGAGAGTGAGAGCACTGTTCTAGGGTTGTCCTGGATAAATGTGGAGCCAAAAGTGCTTGATTATCAAAGACTAGGTACCTTGATCAAAAATAAAATCAAACCGTGCTGTTCGTGGGTCAAAACTGCCATATTCACGAGGGAGTTCTCACCATCGCGAGGCTAACATTTTACTAGCCTGTCAGCCTCACCATAGGTAGTAATAGAGCCCTTTCTCGACTCCGGTTGTCAGATATGTTGCAGAGATTGTTGAAACCAGGTAAGAGCAAGCTCAACGGCAAAAGTTTGATCCCCTTCACACACAAGTTTTACCTGGGAATGTAAACTGGTGAGAATTTTATTCGCTTAAGACCCATATCCTTTGCTCGTTTCTTTGTATCAACTAATGAACCTGTAGAACTAAATCTATTCAATAATCTCAGCCAAGAGTTTGATCAACTTGCATTCGATTTTATTTGAATTATAAATAAGGCTCTGATGGAAAATTCACCAGACTTAGAACCTTCAGAAGTCAGCACACCCTCTTCTAACCTATCAGAAAATGCCCGAATTCGCAAAGAGCGACGCGAAGCTAAGATTCGCGCCAGCGGCTCTGCACGTCTCAGTAAAATTACTGGTCTAGGTGGCTCGAACAAAGGTACATTTCCTTGTAGACTTACTTCTTGAAGTTATAACTAAGTCTACTGAAGAATCAGAATCACATATTACTCAAGGTCCTTGTGTATTTCCTAAAAGTGTAGAAAGAAGCTATGATGAGAGTAGAACTTCTCCAGTACCCGGTGATCCAGCCACGATTGATCAGATCGGGCTTAAACAGGAAGAATGGCCTAATTCTCGCGCAAGTACCGTCCAGATCAATGAACTACTTGGCATGAAAAACGCTGCAACATCCGAAGATCCTATGATGAAAATCTTGCAACAGATGATGGGCGGGATTCCTGGTGAAGGATCTGGCGGCATGCCTTCCTTTCAGAATACTCCTAGTAATACTCAAGCTGCATCAACAACTTCACATTCCCTATTCTGGCGAATAATTCATGCCCTGTGTGCATTATCCTTGGGATTATACGTTGCTATAACTACACAGTTTACGGGCTCGAAGATTATGCGTGAGCACTCCCTCTTAGGATATAATATTGCTGATGGCGAACTACTTTTTCCTGATACCATCAACGTTTTCTATATTTTTGTTACCCTAGAAACTATATTATTTACGACCCAGTATCTACTTGAAAAGGAACGTGTTCAGCTGGGTGGAATCACAGGAATGGCAATGGAGCTCGTGCCGGAACCAATAAAAAGATATCTTCAATGGGGTTTGAGATACTTTGACATTTGGATGGCAATCAGTCGTGATGCTATGATATTTATTTTCGTTTTAGGAGCGTATGCATGGTTCAAAGGTGAACAGAGTGCTTAAAGCTGTTCTACATAGGACCGTTTTATCACACTCATTTGCGTGACAAGCTTTTGGAACTTAACTATTAGTTTTATCCAAAGTCAGCCTATTAGACTCGATAACAGAAGAATACACTTGAGAATTCTCCTCACCTCGAAAATCTCAAGACTGACACTCTAAAGGCTCGTTGTTAGACAGCAAAGCACCTTTCATTCCTTCTGTGTAGCCGAGGGTTGCATGCCAGGATAATAAGCTGAAACATGGACCACCCAAAAAGCTGAACTACGCCGTCACATAATAGCAGGTCATTAGGGTTATGAAAAAATGGTCAATTCGTCGCCTTTCTCTAAGCAATGACTTTCTCGAATATTGAAGTAACTTATCAAGGTATAACGGTTGCAATTCATGATTTATTTATATTCTTTTAATTTGACCTTCAAGTCAGTATGCTTCTCCCTCGCTGAAGTAGCTCATCTGAGCTAGTAACCAAGCTTGAACCACCGAGAATCAAATCATACGTGCCTCTTGCCACTGCCAGCCCTATTACCATATCTAAGATGATTTAGAGTCTGTCTGCACATCCAATTTGATTTCAACCAACATTCTCTGGAGTGATACCAGACTTACAAACTATATCATGTATTATGCGCAAAACCATTACGGTTCAACGCGGCATAGCCATAGTTTGAAGGAGGATATCAACTCATTCATGCCTACTTAGTGTAGCTCTACATAGAACGAGCGCTTAGTGGTCAGGCCTCTATTGCCTCAGCACATAGCAAGGCAGTAATGTTGACACAGAGACCATGTGACGCACTACTCTAGACCTAGCTTTCCACAGGGACTAAAAAAATACCTGAGTCGTAGATATTCTTCAAAATACATAGCTCCAGGCTATGATGAGAATCTAATTATATTATTTTTAGAATATGCTGAGCCTCAGATCTGGTGTTATTTCCATAGGATAAAAGCACTTCTTTACCGCAGCAAGTAAAGCAATGATATGAATGCTTCATTCCTTTGTATTTTTGGTTTAAAAATATTTTTCGCCTTTATTATTGTCTACTAAAGGCATGTTAGGGTAGCCAAAGATTTTCCTGTTTTCCCTTTGGTGGATATTAACGGTTGGTGGAAAGATGAAAGTTCCTGGCATCAAGGTCTCGAGTGGTATCAGCAAACGCACCCACCATGTGAGTAATCCAAATTTCAAGCTGAGTTATCGTAGTATATAGTCATCGGAGAAGCTTGTCTTCTCCGTGTCATGCTCGTTGGGTGCGGGGGTTGTGCCCATCACGAATAAATTTTCATTCGCTCTTCATCTCTGTCCAAAATACGAATCGCAAATCATGTGACCTTGGTTACAACCTAAGTCAATCAAATCTATTCACAACTAGAAAGATGCTGAAAGATATAAGTCGCTTCAGACTACGAGCAGGCTATACACCCTTATCTTATACTCCAGAGAGTTATACTATAGTGTTACCGATAATACTGGGAAATTATCGCATAGCGGGCTGCACAGTAGACTTATGCATTTGAAAACCCCGTAACAGCTACTCAACGAGATAGAAGAATAAGACCGTGTTAAAGATTTAATCTATCCATAACTCTGAGCTTCATGGTGGCCATCAAGAAGAAGAAAAATATGGCCTGTCGTCAAAGATAAAAGGGCGGAAAGACTTGAGGTAGGAGAAAAGACCAATATAAAAAGGGGTGATTAGCCCAGAGTGTGTGTGAGCACTGTGAATTTGGTCAGAGTCATCGTCATATCAAAGAGGTGTAAAGTGCGCGATTTTATAAATATAAGAGTTATATCCCTGTCCATCATTAAAAACCGCCGCACTGCCATGAACGCCATCTATCTCTGTTACCCATCGCAATCATGTTTCAACACCAGTCGCTGTCACACGGTATTTTCTTACGGATCGATGATAAGAGAAAAATGTTAACAGGCCGAAGTTTAGGATTGAAAATAATGCATGGGAAACCTCCCGCTTGAGATATTGTGCGCCTATAAATATAGCTCGTTTTGTGACATCACACGATTTAGCGAATATTACACCCTGTGTGGAAGGAGATTACCGACAAAAAACTCAGTGGTCATTATGGCGGGAGCAGAAGTATTAGATGAAAATTTCTAAAGCCAAGTAATCCCTGGAAGCGTCTCCACTGTTGGCAGGTATCAGCCACAAATTTTGATCCTTAGTAACTTTGAGGCTTCCCTCAGCTTTTTCATTACTGTCGAACATTTTGAGCTGGTTTGGAAGCTGTCATGTTTGAGACTAGAGGTATCTGGAAGAATAGCTCGCACAGGAGCTTTCAATTGAAGCAAATAAAAAGATGTAATTGTCTGACTGTCTTCCTTCCTCTTTCTCTCAGCTTATATATCTACACATATCTACTACCTGACATAAGATGATAATATCTAGAAATAGCTTCCTTACATCACAGGATACAATCCAAATATGTTGTAGCCAAGATGTAATCCTAAACCGACTCAATACCAGTCCACCACGTCTGTTACACGGACGCCAAGTATTTTCTAGCTGAAAATTATCCAAAACGCCAAAGGAGGACGAAGGCTGAACACCTGTCAGTGGTGTCCTCTACGAACCTGGGAGTGAAATATTCTCCCAGAGCCGAGATTCAGCCACGAAAAACGGTGGGATGATTTTTAATTGATGGATTTTCGACCTGAAGGAGTTGCACTCGATCTTTTGGTCGAAAAATTAGTCGGCAGAGATTTCACAGCCGGAACGAAGTCGAACAAAAAGTCATCACCACCAACATACGACTCACGAACGGGCCTAGGTCTATCTGGAGGTCGTATTCAAACATCCGACATTTCTTAAACTCCTTTTATACTTGCGACGAAGCATTTCTCAATCGATCCTACACCTGCGACCTACCTCCATACTCGTCCGATCACCTACCTAGGCACGCCCTAATGAGGAAAGTCATGATGGAAACAGGACGTGTCCAAAGGGGAAAGAAAAGGGAAGATACGCTGAGGGGATTACACAAATCGAAGATGACGACAACAACCTAATGGTACGATATGAAGGTGCAAGGCTAGAGCAACGATGAGATCTTGGACGGCAATTATATTTCGGAGTCAATGAGGATGTCAAGGGCTCGGGCGCGTGGTGGCCGAGGCTGAGAAAGAAATTGCGCTACGGCGCGTATACACCGGGTTTCTGGACGGTTAGTCTTGGTATGATTCAACACATATGTGAAGTCTGAGGTGGTCCTGTCATTAAAGTGTGAAGAGGTTTATCTGTACTTCACGGTAGTTAACCTGATCCGGCCCAACCCCACACGTGCTTAAGCTCCAATCGGAGTGCAACGGTAGTCATGTAACCTAGCACGTTAATGAACAAAACAAAACAAAACAAAGCAAAACAAAACCCAAAACGCCAAGGTTTTCCTGAGGCAAACACAAATTATGTCAGGTACCAGCTTGGCATATTATTCTGACAATAACTTTACGATCATGTTAGAAAAATGGAATTTACATGAATCACGAAACATTAATTCAGGAATACGAATTCCACCGGGCTCTGATACTGGTCTGACAATTACTATTTATTGCATATTCAGCAATTGAGCTATCACAACTGATCAGTGTCTTTTATTCAAGTAGGATGACTCATTTAATCTTAGAGACAACCGTTCTATGTATTTCAATTGCAAATACCACTGTGAAGTGTATTTGTTTGCGCAGAACAGCCAAACCTCTTCGGAGTTCCCTTAATTTGAGATGGTATCGAAGTGGGTCTTCCGAAATCAAATCCGATCTATACAAACGCCAAATATGGCGACACAAGTCGCTAGGTATTGAAAGGCTGAGGGCGATGGATAGGGAGACGTCACGTTGTGAATAGAATACTGATAGGTATGGGAGAATTCAATAGATCACTTGGACAGAGTAAGATGATTGATTGATGGTGAATTATATTTGTGGATGATTGATGTATAGATACTGAGAGTTAAAAGGCCCTATCTATATACAGGAGTTCCTACCCTTATTCCTCTACATGGTATTGTCTATGATAGCTAGAGTAACTACAATGGTGTCCTCATTGTAGTGAACACGTTGATGTTAGTGTGTAGGGACCAGGAGGCAATAGTGATCAGACTCTAAGGGGTTAACTTTGCTGGTGCACAGTTATCCCCTGAAGGTGTGTGCAGTTATGAACTCAGATTTTTACAACACTAGAGACTCCATAGATCCAATGCTATTTCGGATTGTAGGGAATGATTATGCCATAATACCAGCGGAATCTAGCTTGACAGATCTCAGCTATCTCTGGCAAAGCACCTAGGCCAAAGCCGTACCGAGGGCGGAGATGAACTTTTGCAGACCTCAAACGGGCTATCAAAGAGCAGGTCGAAAAGACCATAGAAACCTAGCGGCGAGAACGTGGAGCCATGCAGTATAGAGATCTGTTAAGGATTGTTCTGTCCTTAACTCTGAGTCCGATGGTGGCCAAGAAAACGAAGAATTATATGGACCGTCATATAAAGATAGAAAGGTATGGTTTTGTTTGTTTAAAGGTTAATGTATTGAAATGTATAACCCACTACTTAGTTCGTGGACTTATTGGTAGAGGGAAGCTTATGCAATAATGAAGGATAAAAGGATGTCAATTCGACTACTCTACTAAACACAGGTACCAGACTCCTTTTAATCCCAATAGATAGCCCGTGCGGGATCTCCTATTAACAGCAGTAAACAACGCTAGCACAGGGTATACGCAATTTCCGTTCGCCAAACACCAGTCGATCGGGACTACTAATTATCGAGCGTAGTAGGATCGACAAAGTGTATCCCAACACAGAAATAATAGAAAACTCAAAAACCAAACCCATCATCAATTACTTCCATTAACTATCACCTTACTTATCTCTGTACTCCATAATTTTAACATGTTGTCCTATTAAGTCTATGACAAAAACAGAACACATTGGTATTTATGTCTCGAGCAGTATACTCCCGCCTATGCATCTATCACGACTAA